CTTAGTTTTATAGTTTTTGATCAAGAGTTCAGTAGAGTCTCAGAGGCATAACTCGGGAATGAGTATTCCGATTCTTCTGATTTTTATACCATTCGATAGAGAATTAAATTTCCTACAAAATGATATGAAAAGTAAAAATTTAGGTTGATTATTAATAAAGTTATGGCCAAAAAACTGACAATGATGCGCGTTTTTCGTGTATTTTTGACTTCAACTTTTTTGCAATATATTCAAAATTTTATTTAATTTTAATTTTTTGTACCAAATTAAATTCTCTATTTAATGATATCAAAAGAATTTTAAATTATTCATTCTTCTATTAAATACAAATTTTAGTAATTTAAATATTACGTTATTTAAATAATTAGGCGTTTGATTTATTTTTAAACTAAGACGATTTATTTGAAAAATTTAAAAAGTCCTTTCTTTCCTTTTTTCCTAATTTTCTTAGGCAACATTGGAATATTTAATATAATTTTATATTTATTTAATCATCAGTTCCAGCCCCACAGCTGTTTTCTTCAAGTTCTATTAGGGACGTCTAGGCGCAGTGAGATTGCGGCGCATGCTTGTAAAATGGTCAAATGAGTAGCTAGAGCTATGAAATTTTGGAAAAATATTTCTAATAGTGTTAACTAACGATTCTGAAAATTTCAGAATTTTTCATTAAAAATTTGCAAAGTTATGGTAAAAAATGCCAAACTTCCTCGAATTTTTACCGATTTTTCGCCTTCTTTTACCCATATCTTCTGAAATTTTTAACCAAAAATTCTGAAATTTTCAGAATCGTTAAATAACTGTCTTAAGTACCTATATGCAAAATTTCACCTCTCTATCTACTCATTTGCCCAATTTATGAACGTTCGCGCAGCCTCTATCAACGCCTTAATATTACCAACTTGCCCCCTCTTTATTTTAGTTTTCTCTTAAAACTTGGACTGATCAGCAATTTATTTTTATTTTTTAAATTGATAAATGATCACCAAAAAATTTTGAACAAAAAAATTTTGGTTGTTGACTAATATTTAAGGCAGAAATTTTTTTAGAAAAAAATTTTTTCCAAAAAATAAGGTAAAATATTGACATTGATAAATGACAAAATTAAAATTTTGGGAGCAAATATTATTATAAATTTAATGTTTTTATTAACAAGAATAAAGGGGGAAAATTAATGGGAAAATAAAATGCAAGTTTTTTGGGCCAAAGAAAATGATGACGATTTTGAAAAAAATTTTTTTTAATTTTTACGTGTTTGTCAGGTTCTTAATTTTTGTTGCGGCTCTTTTCTCTCTTCTATCAACTCCAAATTTTATTTATATAAATTTATTTTAAAGTTCCTTGTTTGCTATTTTAAATTATTATTTTGATTATTTTATTAAATTGAGGGTCTTGGGGTCGTTAAAGAAGAAAAACCATAAAAATCTTAAAAGTGGACTTTGAGTCTTGAAATTTTCCATTGATATCATTAACACTGTTACCTAACAGCTCCTAAAATTTCAGAATTTTTGGTTCAGAATTTATCGAGTTATGGTCCAAATAGCTCGCAAAATGAGCGATTTTTGCACCCAAAATGTCATAAAAACTAATAAAAAGTCGAAGAGTCATAAAAATCATAAAAGTGGACTTTGAGTCCTGAAATTTTGCTTTGATATCAGTAACACTGTTAGCTAACATATCCCAAATTTTTAGAATTTTTCATTTCGAAATTGTTGAGTTATAGGGCAAAAAGCTCGCAAAATGAGCATTTTTGCACCCAAAATGTCTTAAGAACCATAAAAAGTCGAAGAGTCATAAAAACCACAAAAGTGCACTTTGAGTCTTGAAATTTTCCGATAATATCAATAACACTGTTAGCTAACATATCTCAAATTTCAGAATTTTTGGTTCAGAATTTATTGAGTTATGGGGCAAAAGGCTCGCAAAATGAGCATTTTTGCACCCAAAAAGTCATAAAACCCATAAAAAGTCGAAGAATCATAAAAACCACTAAAATGCACTTTGAGTCGTGAAATTTTATATTGATATCCTCAAGACAGTTACCTAAAAATTCTGAAAATTTCAGAATTTTTGGTTCAGAATTTATTGAGTTATGGGGCAAAAGGCTCGCAAAATGCGCGATTTTGCACCCAAAATGTCGGTTTTTTGGCAATAACTTTTTTGTATTTCATCAAAATTTAATAATTTTATGTCATTTTGTAGCTAATTCAATTCTCTTTCGAATAGTTTTTAAATTAAAAAAATCGGTTCACCCATTCGCGAGTTATGCCTATTAGAGTCAATTGAACTTTGGCTTTACAGACTAACTTGAATATTAACAAAAAATTTTTTTAGAATTTTTTAAAAATTTATTTTTTTTCAGAAAATGTCCACAACAACTTCCTCTTCATTTTCTGCTTCTTCCAACAAAGGTTTCGGTATTCTTGATTTACTTAGTCAATCTCCAACTGCCGTCGCGTTTGCTGCTGCAGTTGTGGCTAAGGGGGAAGTTGAAGAGGCTAACGTTAAAAATGGCGGAGATGATGGTCTTGCTTTGAGGGAAGAAGAAGGTGAATTAATAAAATTAGCCACTCGGAGCTGGAGCCAACAAATGCCCAATACCCAGCACTCATAAGGACACAAGGACAAAAAAGCGTCTTGAAAATAAGACAAATTAAAAAATAAGGGCACTAGAAGGACACTAGTAAAATCTAAGGACAATAAGAAAAACAAGGACAAAAATCTAAGAACACGCAAATCTAAGACAGAAATTTAAGGACATCACAGAAAAATAAGATCTGACAAAGATAAGACTAGAGTGCGGAAACGGGATCCCCGGATCCCGTAACGGGATTTTTTTAAATTTTTGCGGGACAAGATCCCGCGGGATTAATCCCGTAAATCACGTAATCCCGTTCGCGGGATTTCGGGACAGGATCCCGCAAAATCCCGTTCGCGGGATATCGGGACAGGATCCCGTAAATCCCGTTCGCGGGATATCGGGACAGGATCCCGTAAATCCCGTTCGCGGGGATTTCGGGACAGGCTCCCGCAAAATCCCGTTCGGATCCTGTCCCGTCCGCACTCTAGATAAGACTAAATAATTCCCAGACTCTAATTCCCCCCTATTTTTTAGGAATATATAAGGGTTACGGTAGTGTTCATAAATTCCCTCCTTTCCTCGAGAAGGAGGAAGTAAATTTATTTAATTTTATTAAAAACAGTTGTTTAAAGTCTTCCGGAATTTGTAATAAATTATTTTAGTGTTTAAAAATATTATTAATTTGCCGGTCATAAAAATGCCAAAATTATTTACCTATCGATCATTTTTATTTTTGCTATTTTTCCGTTCTCTTAATAAACCTTTCGGTCTTTTATTAAGTTTAGAGACCAATTAGCAATAAATTGGGAAGCAATTTATTGCTAGTATGTGTTTAATAGAGGGTATATTGGAGGAGAGTATATTAGAGTCTCAAATTAAATTTCAATGAGTTTCGGGTAAAGGGCATTTTTGGGAGATAGGGGACCTTCTTATAGGGAGTTGTTGAGGGGAGTTGTTGAGGGGAGTTGTTGAGGGACCAATTTATCTTGGGAGACCCAATTTATTGCCAAGTGGTCTCTAAACTTTTTAGAAGGTCGAAAGCTTTGTTGGAAGAAAAACTTAAATTTCCAGATTACGGTCAAAGTAATTACTGGTAGAGTGAAGATCCCGGCTCTATTAAAACCTGAATCGGAAGCGAATTCTAAATCGGAGGGCGGTATTCAGAAAAGCGGGTAGGGGTTAACCAACCTTCAGCTGCAAATAGGTTAACTCAGAACCCTTATTCAAAAATGAGAGTATTGGTAACACCGATCTATGGTTAGTTTCTCCGGTAATAGAACCCACAGCTGGAAGTAATCATCGAGTTTTTGGTCGATTTTTTTGAATAAGGGTTAACCCTCAACTGATGTGAGAGTTCTATCACTCGAGCAAGGGAACCTGGAAATTTACCAGGTTCTCTAACCCGCTTTTTAGAATACCGCTCCAGAAGTCTCAATTTTTAGACATTTTATCCAAAAATTTGGCATTCTATTAATTTTTGGACATTTTATTCCAATTTTTGCCAATATTTTTCATCCCGTCTTAAATTCCAAGACTCTAATATGCCCATCAACACTTAATGCTTGTCGGTGCTATACATGACCCCTTTTTTGTAATTTTTATATGTTTAACAAATTCCTTAACGAGTTATTTATGATGCGCCGCTTATTTTACTGTTAAGTGAGAGCAAGTTTTAATGGACAAAAGCAGACTTTATTTTTAATTTAAGATTGCCTGAGGCAAAATAAAAAATGTCCATTAGAGAGTTGATTTTTCCTTCTTCTTTAAGTTTTTTATAAGAGATCCGGTGCTTTATTCATCCTATTTCCTACAATCTCCGATATCCCTCCCCTATGTTTCCCCAACAAAATGAGACCCCCAAAAACCTTCTGTGGTCTCCGGTAACTATAGAGGGGCTGATAGACCTTTTTCTATCATTATTCAAAACCAGGGCTGAGCGCCACACTTTGGCGTTGTTTTTGACCGATTTTGGCGTTATGTCGTTTGGCGTTTTTTTTTTATTTTAAAAATTTTTGGCGTTTTTAAAAACGCCAAAAATTTGGCGCTCGGCCATGTTTAACCCTACTATTTTATATTAGAGCCCGGCTCGGTACGATATTTTTTCGACCGACCCCTCCGTTTGGGCTCTATTCTATATATTTTCTAAACTTTTATTAATTCATTCAATCATATAGACCACAAAAATTTTAAAGAAGCGGAAAAATATTTGTAGAAAAAGGGGTCAACTTTAAAATATAAACCACTTTACGATGAGTGAATTGACGCGGATTGATGAGATATAAATAATAAATTTATTTGGTAGTAAAAAGGGATAAAAGGGAGGGGAGTTTGATTGAATTTATTGGTGGAAGGAAAGGGAGAGAATGAACGGATGTTTGGTATACTGTAGATTTTAAATAAAATTTGATTAAATTAAGTAATTAAGTCTGGCGTTTTGTTTTTCGGATTTTTATGAATTTAGGCAATTTTGGCGTTGTTTTTGGCGTTTTGTTAATTTTTGGCATTTTGTCCTTATTATTGGAATTTTTATTGATTTTTTGGCATTTTGTCCTTATTATTAGAATTTTTATGAATTTTAGCACTAATTTTGGCATTTTTATCGATTTTTTGGCATTTTGTCCTTACTATTGGAATTTTAATGGATTTTGGCATTTTATCGCTAATTTTGGCATTTTATCGATTTTTTGGCATTTTGTCCTTACTATTAGAATAATTATTTATTTTCAAGTTTCCTCACCAATTTGTGACCAAAAACATCCTCTACTACCATTCCTCGAAGACAAAGCATTATCAACGTCTACAACAACCAATTTAATAATACCAACATCCCCTCCCCCTCCCCCATGTTCTTCTTCTGCCTCTGCCTTTTCCCCTCCTCCAACTTCCCCAATAAATCGAAAACGTTCAACAACAAAAATTACAAAAATATCCAGCGCTACAGAAAAAGAATTAAATTTAGACGAAGAATTTGGTAGTGGGGAGGAAGATGAAGAAGAAGAAAATAATGAAGAGGAAGGGGAAAATAAATTGAAGGGGGGAGAGGGGAAGAGATTTGCAAAACCACGTTATTCCTATAATGCGTAAGCTTTTTGGGGTTCTTTTGGATAGAGGTCGGCAAAATCGAATTCCCGAGATCCCGGAACGGGATTGGATTTAAAAATTTTGAACGGGACGGGATCCCGCGGGAATAATCCAGTAAATCCCGGTAATCCCGTTTGTAATCCCGGTAATCCCGGTAATCCCGGTAATCCCCCGGAATTCCGGGACGGGATCCCGTAAAATCCCGTACAGGGTCCCGTCCCGTGCCGAGCTCTACTCTTGATAACTTCCAGACTCTACAGCACCTTTCTCTTTCCAGTATCTCGATGTCACGACTCGGTCGGTCTATGAGGGAAATTAGGGGGCCTTTATACCTTCGATTCAAGGCCACTTCATTCCTCCAAAACGTGCCTGATCTGTCAGGCTTTTCAAATCTTCACTAGCTAATATACTTAACTCCGAAGAATTTTCTCTTCCAGTAACCACCCCCACCCCTCCCCCCATTTCTGTCTACCATAAAAAATATTTGTTTAGACTTATAACAATGGCACTTCGTCAAAGTCAAACAGGTCGTTTAACGCTCAATGGCATTTATGAATTTATTATGAGACGCTTTCCATTCTACAAGTTTGTATTTTTCACTTTGCCAAGGGTTAAGAACGGTCAAATCTAATCAATCAAATTTGACCATTTTGGGCATTTACCCTTTTAAAATTTGACAAAATGAAAAATTTCAAAAAAAATTTTTTGTTTAAGAACAAATCGTCGCGGTTGGCAAAACAGCATTCGCCACAATCTCTCATTAAACAAATTCTTCGTTAAAGTTGCTAGATCCTATGATGATCCAGGGAAAGGTAAAAGAACCAATTGTTTCATAAATTAAAGCAAATTTTGGGTAAAAAGATTTTTTTGTTTGATGGAGTCTGTAGTGACATTAAGTGTAAATATACGGCTGTCAGTTAAAAAATTTTTATTTTTATTTTACATACCACAAAACTTGTCTTTTTTTAAATTTAGTTTGATTGATTGTTTGTAGAAAACAATGAAAAATTTTTGAAGACGAAGATTTTTAGAAGGAAATTTTATGAGGGTAAAAGTTTAAAGGGATCAACCATGTGATAAAAAGTACAAAAAATTAATTTAATTTTTGGGAATGTATTAATGACAGGGATTCTAGATGATGGCAGGAATCAAATATCCATAGTAGATTTTAGGGGTAGGGTGTAGGGAACATTAGTGGTAGTCCGAAGGGAACATTAAGGGTAGGGTGAGGGGAACATTAGTCTGAAACTAGAGGTATTATAAAGGGAACGTTTGTGGTAGTTCGAAGGGAACATTAAGGGGTGTCCGAAGGGAACATTACAGAGTAGTCCGAAGGGAGCATTAAGGGTAGTCCGAAGGGAAATTGAGGGTAGTCCGAAAGGAACATTAAGTGACACTAGAGATTAGTGTTATTCACGGTACCGTATTACCGCGGTATTTTTCTGTAATACCGCGGTATTTTTACCGAAATACTGATACCGAATACTGTACCGAACAATTTTTAAAAAATCGGTATTTTTTCGGTATCGGTATTTTACCGAAAATACCGATACCAATACCAAAAAAACGCGTTTGAATAACACTACTAGAGATAGTCCAAGGGGAACACTAAAGGTACTCCTTAGAGAACTTTGAAGTACTCCAGAGAAATTTCTCAAAATAATTTCATTTATTCCCCAGGAAATTACTGGATGTTAGATACCTCATCAGAAAACGAAATCTATATAGGCGCCACAACAGGCAAATTGCGCAGACGACGTCCTCCCCTCTGTTCCACATCAAAAGCAACCATTCAAAGACATCATCAAAACCCCCAACCATTTCTATCATCAAATTTATCATTTAATCGACAACAACTTCCCCATATAATGCTCCCACAGCACCCCTCAACTTCCCCTTCTTTTGGCGTTTGTTTGCCGTTACAAACATCGCAACAACAATTTCCTTCGATTTTTTCCTTGCCTAATTATCCTAATAATTTTACTAGTAGATTTCCGTTTGAAATAAATTTTTTGGGGTTAAATAATCAACAAAAACAATTTATGGCCTGTTTGTTTCAACAGACACAGTTAGAATTGATACAGAATGAGAATGGGGCGAAGGTGCAATAATGAAAATTTAATTTTGATTTTGTTCCCATCTATTCATTTTTGTGGACTATTAACTTTCATTAGTAGAGCCAACTCAATAAAAACAATTTATGGCTATCCTAGGGAGCAAAAGTCCAAAAGGAATATTAAAGGTAGTCCGAAGGGAACAATAGTGGTAGGGTGAAGGGAACAAGGGGTAGGGTTAAGTAATATTAAGGGTAGAGTGAAGTGGGTAGTCTGAAGAGAGACGTTCCTTTCGGACTACCTCTAATAGGGGTATTCCGAAGGGAACGTCAGGGTTGGATGAAGGTAGAGGGTAAATCCCGTTATTAGCGACCTCAACACGTAAGAATGACATTTCATCCCTTAGATTCTAATGTCTCAACTAACGAGAGTTGATTACATAAATATTAGACTCTAAACCAGCCAATTGTGTTCCTCTAAAAATTTTTTGTTTAAATTTTGGCGTTTTATAAAATCAAATTTTTGGCGCACGCCTTTAGAAAATAAGCAATTTCTTCGAATAATATTTTTAAATATTTTTTTCATCATTATTTTGTATAAATAAAAATAGTTATTGTATAAAAAATTAATTAATGACTAAACTAAAAATATTTTTCTGGAAACAAAAAAAAATAAATTGTCACTTTTGGGGACAAAAAAAAATTTTTTTTCTCTTAAAAATACCGACAAGAAACCTCCCAAAAATAACCATGGAAAAATAAAGAAAATATAAAAACAATTAGGACACCTCATTTACACACATATGCAACAAAAATAAAACAATGTGTTGTTGCTTTTAATTTTTCTTTGTCATTCCGCGCTAGAAACAACCCCTCAAGTATTTTTGTTTCTGATTACTATATTTTTTGTTATTTAAATTTTTTCCGCAGAATTTCGACGTCCAAAATGTCGACGTCCAAAAAAGATTTCTAATTTTGAAATTTTTAATTTCGCCAATTTTTGAAAATTTTTGGCGTTTTAAACAGAAAAATTGCGCACGGGTGGCAATTGATTTTTATTTGTTCTGATTTTTGATTTTTCTTTTTTGTTTGATTCTGATTTTCTGATTCGGAGTTTTTAATATTGTTCTGAATTTTTAGTTTCTGATTTCACTGTGTTCTGATTCTGATTTTTCTGATTCTGATATTTTGAGTATGTTCTGATATTTTTGATTTTGTTCTGAATTCTGATTTTTAGGATTTTGATTCTTTATATTCTGATTTCTTCTGATCTTTATCGATTATGATTCTGATTTTTTCTGAAATTTCTGAACTGAGTTTCTAAGTGTTCTGATTTTGGTTTTCTGATTTTTATCTTATCTGATTCTGATTTTTTCTGACCTTCTTCTGATTTTTGATTTTTAACGATTCTGGTTCTGATTTTTCTGAAGGTATGTTCTGATATTTCTGATTTTTAGGATTCTGATTTTTCATATTCTGATTTCTTCTGATTTTTATCGATTCTCTGATTTTTCCCTTAATTTTCTTCTGATTCCTTTCCATGTCGATCTTCTGTCTCCATCACTTATTAACTCTCTAATTTTCCATGTTGCTCCTTCTACAAATAATATACTTAAATAACAATTAGAAGGAAATCTTAGGGGAAGGGAAATGGATGAGGACACAAAAGCGGGAAGAAAGAAGAAAAAAAGCGATTAGCGGCTCTCATTAAAAAAAGAAAAAAAGTGTGGAGAAAAAAATTTTGGTTAAAAATAGGGGAACAATAGGGGAAATAAAGGGGTGTTTTATAGGAGAAAGGAAGAGGAATTAAGTTGAAAATAAAAAATAATAAAAAATACCGACCACTTGTAAATATTTAAATATAAATGCTGTGGATTTGGGTGGATTTTTTGAATTTTTTGGTTAATTAAAAGAAGGATGAATTTATGGTAGAAGGATTTTAAATTTAATTTTTTGAGTTTACAAAAGGGGAAGGGTAGAGGATTTCGGGTAAAAAAGAGGTTCAAGTTTGGGTTTTGAATCAGAAGAAGGCAGTGTTTAGGTTTCGAATTATCCCTGGTATGGATTATCTCTGGTATACTTATCCCTGGTATAGTCAGCCTCTCAGCTTTGCAGATATTTTAGCCAGCACCACCACCACAAATACAGTTGGCTCACACTAGCGATGGAATGGATTATCCCTGGTATAGTCAGGCTCTCAGCTTCTAGACATTTTAGTCAGCACCAAAGATGTAGATGTACATATATAAAGGCAAGGTCTGACTGTTGGCTCACACTAGCGATGGAATGTCTTCCGCTTCTGTCTTCCGCCGATTTGCATCCTTTTTTGGTGCTTCGCTTTTTATTACGCTTCCGTCTTTCGCTTTTTAAAATTCGTTTGGGACAAATAATGTAGCTTGGCCAAATAATGTAGAGTTAAAAATAAATTATAAATTTTGATCACTTGACTTATAAAATTTTTTAAAAAATGAGTGGGAAGGGCAAACAATATTTAACTAATTAATTGTTTGTTTAATTTAAAAAATCACATCATTTTAAAAATATTCCCTCTAATCCACTTGAAAAAAAGTTAATTTTTTAAGATTGATCTTTATAGTACGCTTTTTAAACAAAAAAGTGAACGTGATCTTTTAAAACTTTTTTTAAGCTTGTTTAAAAATTATTTCAAGTATTTTAAAGCAAACAAAAGAGAAGGTAAAACAAAATACTATAAAAGCGCCTAGAAAAGAGCAGTGAAAAACATTCCTTTAATTAAAACAAACTTTAAAAGTTGAAAAAGTTTATTTCTTTAATATTCAAAAAACATTCTTTTAAACATGCGATCAATTGTTTTGATGTTTTTATTGGCTGTTGTTGTTATTAGCTTCGAAAAATCAATTGCACGTCGTGATTCTGAGGGAGGTTTACCTCGTGGCCCTCCTCGTGGTCCCCCTCCTTCTATGTTTGAAGATAATAAAGAGTCTGTTTTTCTTTTTAATTTCTTTTAATTAAAAAAAATTTTTAGCAGTAATAGAGGCGGTTTTGGTGCAAGACCGAATGGATTTGGAGGTGGTGATGGAGAAAATGGAGGACCTGGAGGACGAGGGGGATCTGGGGGCAGAGGTGGAGGACAAGGTGGATTTGGAGGCTTCTAAATGAAAATAAAATGAATGGAATTATATTACCAAGATTGTATGAAAATGAAGAAGATGAATAAGAAAATAAATTAAAACATAGTGATTTAATAATACATCAATTATAATAAATTTCGAAAATTTTAGCATAAATAAATTAAAAATTGTCTTAAATTAGAATGAATAGCAAGGAATATTATACTTAAGTAAAACAAAGGGGGCAATGGTTAGGCCTAGCAATGCTACCGCCACCTTTATTAATTGTTTGCTGATTGTTAACTATCTATTCTCAAATTCTAATACCTCTATGACATGAATAAATAATTCGAGAAAATATTTTCGAGAGTCTCTCATTCTCGTCCAAAAGCGTTATTTTAAAATGCTTCTAAATTCTCATCCGTAACTTCTACACCACACGGCCGAATTGAACGGACGTTAGAAGAGAATTGGAATTTGATGGAACGACGTTATTGAGAGTTACTAGTTTATCATTGAATTGACAAAGAATTGTCTGTAGTAAACTTAATACTCGTAAAAAACGCCCATAAAATCGAAGCTTTAATCACTTGATACAATAAAGCTGAACTGAGTTAGTTATTTCTTCTTTAACTAATGTAATAGTAAGTTAGGCGGCTGGGGGAATAAATTTAAATATTAAAATTGAAAAAGAGAAAAAGAAGAGCAAACTACATACATTTTTAATTAATTAATTTTTATAAAAGACGTCATTTCCCCTAATCCACTTTAAAAAATAATTTTTTCAAAAAAAGTTATTTTTGTAGTGATCTTTCTAGTTAGTTCATTTTTGTACAGAATTAGCAACGTGATCCTTTAAAAAATTTTTTAAAAATTTTATTTCTGAGTTTGTTCAAAAAAAAAAGATTAGCTTGTTTAAAAATTATTTCAAGTATTTTAAAGTAAACAAAAGAGAAGAAAAGGGAAAAGAACAAAATACTATAAAAGCGCCTATAAAAGAGCAGTTAAAAACATTCTCTAATTAAAACAAACATTAAAACTAAAAAAGTTTAGTTCTCTAATATTCAACAAAAACATTCTTTTAAACATGCGATCAATTGTTTTGATCTTTTTATTGGCTGTTGTTGTTATTAGCTTCGAAAAATCAATTGCACGTCGTGAATATTGGGGTGATGGTTTCCGTAGTCGTCCTATGTTAGAGTTTGTTTTTCTTTTGTTTCACTTTTAACTTAAAAATAATTTTTAGCAGTAATCGAGACGGTAACGGTGGACCAGGAGGTGGAGGTGATGGATATGGTGGTGGAGGCAGAGGCGGATATGGCGGTGGAGGCAGAGGTGGATATGGCGGTGGAGGCAGGGGTGGATATGGCGGTGGAGGGAGAGGCGGATATGGCGGTGGAGGTAGAGGTGGATATGGCGGAGGTGGAGGGAGAGGTGGTGGCAGAAATGGAGGGATAGGTGGATATGGAGGCGGAGGTGGCGACAGATATGGTGGTGGAGGTGGTGGCAAATTTGGAGGCGGAGGTGGTGGCATATTTGGAGGCGGTGGTGGTGGCAAATTTGGAGGCGGAGGTGGTGGCAAATTTGGAGGTGGGGGCGGAGGAGGAGGAGGAAAATAACAGAAATTAATTGGAATTATGTCAACATTAAAATGAAGAAAAAGGATAAGAAAACAAAAATGATTTACCTAATAATACTATCAATATGCTTTTCGGAAATTTTGCATAAATTAAAAATTGTTTTAAATGAATAGCAGGGTGTAGTCTAATCTAGGACTAACAGAATTTCATAAAGAATATGATAACATGTTTATCACATGAGTGAAACTATAAGGATAATGAAGGTTGGTTGAAATAGGCATGATTTATTAAGGGCAGACCGAACAAGACTGATCGTTAATGACTGCTTTTATACTAGACCCACATAATTAAGAACTATAAAAGCATTGCCTTAAAATGCCCCAAAATTCTCATTTCTTCACTTGTGTCGCACCTCCAGTCATCGACAGGAACCTCTGCTATATGTCGTCTTCAACACTCGACCTCGACACGACTGCAGACGACAGGTGTTCAGCTGACTATGAGCTTCTACCAAAGTCGGGCTCTACGGCTATTGCAGAGATGCAGCGATTCGACAGACAAACTGGCTCAGGTGTTCAGGCACAAGATGGTGAGGACTTTGTCATTCTCTAAAAATTCTTCCATTTGATTACCTTACATTTTTAGGTGAACTGCTTGAACCGAAACGATCCCTTGTCAACGTGGAAACTCGCCCAAAGGAATTCCAGCATCGCCAGACCCAATCCTGTGGGGACTTGTACAACTTGGAACACTTTCCCTTGGAATATGAGTGGAGCAGTCCATCGGTAGAAGCCTTGCAAGCGCCAAGAGAGGGGGAATCCAGTCTGGACTTCTTGTACAACTTGGAACACTTCCCTTTGGAATATGAGTGGAACAGTCCATCCGAGTGCGAAATGACTTCTGAGAGCAGCAGCTTCTCTGACAGCTCCTTCTCTGACCGCTCTTTCTCTGATAGCTCATACGCTACTACAACGACTCAAACTGAATCAACAACTTGGTCATACACCATAAGCATGGAGTCATCCTACGACAGCCTTCCACCGACAGCCTCCAGTTATCACACCGACAGTTCTTGGGCAGGTAATCATTTTTGGGCTTTGAAGCCTATTTAACAGAGAATTTTTTTCAGATGGCGGCACAGACGACTCGGCTTACTGTCTTCCTCTCTACTCCAGCAGACCTCAGCGAAGTGACTTCTATACTGTGAGCCGCGACAGTTCTGATGCGGAAGGGGTGTTTGGTTCGGAATGGTCGTTTGGTTCGAAGCTGATAAAAGGCAAATTCATTCCTCCGTTCGATCCTGTGAAGGAAGTGCGCAAGTTGGCACTCAGAGCCATCGATGTGGATGACTTCCTTGGACTGACGTGAGTTTAAAACCAGAATTTAATTCTGAAAAAATATTCTTACATGAATTTCTGATTCTGAAATGTACCAGAATTCTGATTTGGAAAAATCAGAAGATCAGAAATCAGAATTCTAAATTATCGAAAAAACAGAACCAGAATTCTGATTTTTCTGAAAAGTTCTGATTCTGAAAAAATACCAGAATTCTGATTTTTCTGAAAAGTTCTGATTCTGAAAAAATACCAGAATTCTGATTTTTCTGAAAAGTTCTGATTCTGAAAAAATATCAGAATTCTGATTTCTCTGAAAAGTTCTGATGGGGTCGCTATAGTATAGGTCCACCGAGATCGGCACTAATAGTATATACCATTCGATTCGTCTCACCGAGCTGAGTTCAAATATGCAAGAATTTTCTGCGGGAGACGAAAACTCGCTGGGATACAGGCTCTCGAAAATCGAAAAACCATAGAGGGGACCAAGCACTTTTTTGGGGTAAAAAATTCGAATATGCAAATAGTAGCTCATTCGAAAGAGCTCCTCGAGCTGAGTCGAATGACACCAAAATCATCGTGATTGGACAAGTTTGGACAAAGTTACGATAGAAAAACTAAAACATAAACCTATGGGGCGTAGGCGAGGCGCTTGTGCAAAACCCCGCGCTTCGCGCGGGGTTTTGCGGCACGCGCCTCGCGGGGAGTCTACGGGCGCTGGGTCTTGGCTCGTAACATAAACCTATTCCTATCTCACTTGCTCTGGACGTATTTGGGGCCTCCGTAGCAGCAAAAATCTCCACAGATGCCATAGGTAAGGAGCTAAAACTTGTCCAATCATAACTTTGTCAAATCAAGTCAGATTTCGTTGATTTTGGTGTCATTCGACTCAGCTCGAGGAACTCTTTCGAATGAGGTATAATTTGACTATTCGAATTTTTGACCCCAAAAATCAGCTTGGTCCCCCCTTTGTTTTTTCGATTTTCGAGGGCCTGTATCTCAGCGAGTTTTCGTCTCCCGCAGAAAATTCGTGCATATTTGAACTCAGCTCAGCGAGACGAATCAAATGGTATATACTATGAGTTCCGATCTCGGTGGACCTATACTATAGTACAGCCGTTCTGATTCTGAAAAAATACCAGAATTCTGATTTTTCTGAAAAGTTCTGATTCTGAAAAAATACCAGAATTCTGATTTTTCTGAAAAGTTCTGATTCTGAAAAAATATCAGAATTCTGATTTTTCTGAAAAGTTCTGATTCTGAAAAAATACCAGAATTCTGATTTTCATAATTAATTTAAATTTTTCAGACCAGAATACTTGCTGAGCTACGTCTTCTTCGACTACCGTATGTTGTTGCGCCAGATGTTGAACAAAGGGAAGGAACTGAAGCAGACTTCACAACAAGTCAATAAATGTGATTGCGTGTTGATGTGAATTGATAAAAGAAATATATTTGTAGATTCTCTTTTCCCTCACAAAAATTCTGTTTGTGCCCTTACCTATTGCTCTATTTCTAAGTCACCCCCATTTTTCTGTTCAACATTTCTTGTGTGCTTAGGATAAATATTTAAATTAAATGTGCATCTTCTAATTTTCAATTGAGTTGTATTCGTTCTCTAATATTTTTTTCACTATAAAAAATCCTTTCTGGTTAGCTGCCCAAAAGTCCGCAACTTTTTGTCCGCAAGTCACATATTTTATTAGGGACACGCCCAAGTAGGCGCGCGGCCATAACGGCGCAAAGCCTTAATTTGCTGGAAAATTTCTGGCCCTTATCAATTTTGGTAGCAAACTCTTTAGCTCGATGATAGGAATCGTTTAATACTAAATTTGGTAAGATTCGGAAAACTTGAAGCAAGTTTAGTCTTTGCGCCGTTATGGCCGCGCGCCGGGCTGTACCCATTTTATTATTTCCTCGTTCAATTTTCTTCTTATTTTTTTCTTTCTCAAGTTAATCCACTCATCTTTTGTTTAATAATTTAAAAATAATCCTTTTATGCTCCCAACCTAATCCTTTTGAGAAAATAAAAAAAGTAAGACTTGCGGACAAAACTTGCGGACTATATAAGAAAATTGAAAAACAAAGCATTCAGAAAAAATTATTTTTTTCCCTAATAAATGCTCACTGTCCACATTTACTATTTAAGCAAACAAATACCTCTCCAAAAATAATTTTGTGTACTTTTATTATTTTTATCAGAAATAGACACCCCTCCTTTCTTTGACCGATTGATTTGTCCACAAATTGAGTTCCAATTATTTTTTTCCTTTTTTACTTTAATTCCTTTTTATTTCAGTCTACTTCATTTTAGGATACACCCCCATGGGATAAAAAAATCGGACCTTATAAAAAATATTTTTTGCGGACAAAAATTTTGGGGTAGGGGACGATTCAGTATCGCCGATTCAGTATTGGCCGATTCAGTATTTGGGCTTTTTGGCCATAACTTTTTGCACGATCAATATTGTAGGAATAATTAAATATGATTTGATAGGCCTCGGGGTGCTGCATCTTTTTCATAATTGGACTGACCTGATCTGATCACTCTACAAAAAGTTATCACTGATAAACGACGTCACAGGCATAAAAAATCGGTTTTCACGCTGTAACTTTTTCTGTGATCATCAGATCTGATCGGGCCAATTATGAAAAAGATGTAGAATCACGAGACCTTTCTAATGATATGAGAATTATTTGAATCGGTCGAATATTAGGAAAGTTATGGCCATATACTGAATCGGCGGATACTGAATCGGCGGATACTGAATCGGCGATACTGAATCGGCGATACTGAATCGTCCTTAACCGAAAATTTTGTCCGCAAAAATGTTGCGGACTTTATTTATATTTAAAAACGTTTCTTAAATCGACGTGTCTATCTTATAACTTAGTCTGAGTATATTCGAGGACCTCATTTTTAAATACACCCCTAGTGTAAAATAGTTTTTTGCGGACTAAAAAATTGCGGACAAAAAAATTTGTCCGCAAATATTTGCGGACAAATTAAAAAAAATTTTTTTAAGGCAAATTGTCTCAACAACAAAAACATTTCTAATGCCCATTAATACTAATAAAAATGAAAAACAACAACAAAAAAATTTATTTTTTTATTGGCTACCTAATATCACAAAAATGGGACAAAATGTCTTCGTTCATTCCATCAGATATTTAATTGTTATATCCTCGCTAATTTCTTTTACTTTGGTTAGCGCAAACACAACATCTTTCAGTTTAACTGTAATTTGTATGGTTGAGGGAAGTAATGGCAATATTACACAAGAAAAGCTTCAAGGAAAGAATACAGCGTGTGAGGGGTTTTTTTTGGATTTTTTAAAATTTTATTTTGGGAGGTTGGGAATAGGGTAAGGACTTGAGAACTTCCCTTGAATTTTCGACGTTTGCAAAGGTTGAGAAAATTAAAAAAACTGCGGACTAAAAAATGTCCGCAAAAATTATCCCAAGGCTTATAATTTTCTTCTATTTAGACTTCAAACGACTCGCATACTCAACTACCGAAAGAAATTCGTTATTCTCGGCAGCAGCCTTGGGATCAATTATTAGTGGATTGGCTATTACTAGTTTGATTGGGCGTTTTGGACTTCGGTATTAATTTTTCAATTTTTTGCGGAAATCTGCAACTTTTTGCGGATTGTCCGCAAATTTTTTGTTTTTTTTTAAATTATTCTATTCTAGAAATGTGCATTCGGCTTATGGATGGATTTCTCTCTGGATTAACAGCATTAGCACTTCCGTTAGCGGCCGCGATTGGTTTTATTCCCATGTTTATTATTCGAATGCTCCAAGGAAGTGCTGGGCCAGCTCAGTACGTAATGATTGGAACTGTTGCTAGAGATTGGGCTCCGAGGAAGTCGATTGGGAGTTATTTGATGTTACTCTCTTCACATTTTCAAGTATATTTTTAAAAATTAAAAAATTATTTTTTGCGGATTTGTCCGCAATTCCTTTGCGGACGTCCGCAAATTTTTTGCGGATTTTTTTGAAATTTTTTTTATTTTTTTCAGTTTGGAAGAGTAGTAGGTTTGCCTTTGTCGTCAATCTTTTGTTCTCCAACATTGGGTTGGCCATTACTTTATATTTTGCTGGGTTCATTGACCATCATTTCTTTCATGTTCTTCTTTACTATATTTAGAGAACGACCGGAAATTCATCCGTATGTTTTTATTATTTTAGAAAAAAAATTCTGGGGGTTTCTGATTATTTCTAATGAAAATCTGAAACAAATTCTAAGTTTTCTGACCATTTCTGATTAATACAGGCTTTATTCTGATTGTTTTTAAATTTATTCTGACATTATTCTGATAAATTCTGACGAAATTCTGATTTATCCTGACGAAATTCTGATCATTTTTAATCAAAATTCTGATTTATTCTGGTCATTTTAATTGATTTCTGGTTTTATTCTGACTTTCTAACCAAAATTCTGATTTCATTCTGATTCATTCTAAACAAAATTCTGACCATTTCTGATATTATTCTGATGATTTTCAAATTAATTCTGATAAATTCTGACGAAATTCTGATTTATCCTGACAAAATTCTGATTTTATTCTGGTCATTTTTAATCAAAATTCTGATTTACTCTGACCATTTTAATTAAATTCTGATTTTATTCTGACTATTTCTAACCAGAATTCTGATTATTTAAAAAATTCTGATTTTATTTTTTTCAGTTTAATTACCAGAGTAGAACTACAAAAACTTGGAATAAAACCTTTATCAGAAAAATTAGTAACAATAACAACAGACACAACAGAAGAAGAAACAAGCAAAAATCAATCTATTCCTTACAAGAAAATTATTGAGGATTGTGTTGTTTGGCTAGTGCTTTTAACTTATTGGTCGGATGAAATTGGGTTTGAAATGCTTGGACAATTTGGGCCGACTTATTTAAATCGGGTAGGGGAGGATTTTTTTTAATTTGAAAAAAAAAAGTTTTTCAAAGGTTCTAGGCATTGATATTCGCACAACGGGAATTATTAGTGCAACAACTTATCTTCTCTCTGTGGGTGTTAAAGTATTGGCTGGTTGGATATATACCCATTTACCGTTGAGAGGCGAACGTGCTCGTATTAATATATTTACGGCGCTTACTCAGGTGAGTAAAAATCAGAACAAAAAATCAGAACAGAAATATCAGAATAAAAAAAATCAGAACAGAAAATCAGAACAGAAAATAGGAATAAAAAAATCAGAATAAATACCAGAATTAAAATCAGAACATGAAATCAGAATAAATACCAGAATTAAAAATCAGAATAAAATATGAGAATAAAAAATCAGAATAAAATATGAGAATAAAAAATCAGAATAAAATCTGAACAGAAAATCAGAACTAAAAATCAGAACAGAAAAATCAGAACAGAATTCAGAACAAAAAATCAGAATAAATACCAGAATTAAAATCAGAATAAATATCAGAACAGAAATATCAGGACAAAAAATCAGAACAGAAAAAAATAAAATAATTTCCTTTCCTCTAGATTGGCATGTCTTCCTGCTTTATATTATTAGCACTACTCCCACTAGCAAAATGGGTTCCCTTGTGGTCTGTGCAACTTGTCTACACGCTTATCAACCTTTTTTGTGGTCTAGATTTTCTCGGTGTTATTAGATGCTCACAAAGGGTATTTAATAAAATTTAAAAATCAACTTTCGGACTCAGCATGGTACCCGAGGGAAGAGTCGCTATAGGGAATGTTGTTACTTAAATAGGAGTGTCGCTTATACCCAAAGTCGCTTAAAATAAGGTCGCCAATACTGGGGTATTCACCATCTTTTCGGAACTCCGGGCATCAGGGGTGTAAAGAAGTCGCCAATAACGAGTAGGACCCGGTTGGGGGTATCTCCTGTATAGAATGTCTTTAAAAAAGAGTCGCTTATATCGAAGGTCTTTTAAAAATGGAGTCGCTTATATCGAAGGTCTTTAAAAAAGGAGTCGCTTATATCGAATGTCTTTAAAAAGGAGTCGCTTATATAGAATGTATTTAAATTCGAGTCTAATTCCCTTCCTATTTTCAGATATCTCAACAATTCTCTCACGTCTTAATGGCCTGGAACAGCATGATTAGTTCAATCACAATACTTTTACTTCCCCTATTCGTCACATTAATAGCTCCATACAATTTAATTCATGAATGGAGTAGAATATACATAATTATAGGGATATTCCAATTAATAATGATGACATTCTTTTTTATTTTTTGTGATACAAAGCCTAGGGATTGGACAATTACAAGTAATAATATAACAACTAATAGTAGTGAAGAAGAAACAAGTGAATAATGAGGGAGTAACTAACAAAATTTAACAATTTTTTGGGTGTGTTTATTTTATTTTTATGTAAGATATTTTTCCTCATTTTTTTTTTAATAAATTGAAAATTTGGAAAAAATGTTTTGTTGGATGGGGAGTAAAAATTAGTCAAGAAATTAATCCTTTTAAAATTCAGAATCAGAAAATATAGGAATAATAAGAGAAAGAAAAATTTAAATTAGAAAATCAGAATTTAATTAAATCAGAATTTCAAAATCAGAAAAAAAAATAGAATAAAATATCAGAATTCTAACAAAATCAGAAAAAGTAGGTTCTGAGAAATCAGAATTTAAAAACCAGAATAAAAAAATCAGAAAATTTCAGAATAATAAAGCTTAAAAAAATCAGAATTTTAGCAAAATCAGAATTTAAAAATCAGAATATAACTGTAAATCCTCCTAACATTTTACAGATCAGAATAAAAACATGCAACACTTTAAAAGAATCAGAATTTAAAGACTTTTTTTTTATTTTCCCTATCCTCAAAAAATAAATTAAATGTAATTAGGAGTGGGGGTAAGCAATCATTTTATAAATTATAAAGAAAAAACCTTAAAATATTCAAGTATGTGGCAAATTAAAAATATATCCAAAAAAAACTTTTCACATATAAAATTAAACATCAACAATAGCATCTTCATCGTTAGTATTTGTTGACATTTGTTCGTTATTTTGCGAGTCCTCTGAAAATTTTAAAAGATTTTTCAAAAATTAAAAAAATTTTTTCGAGAAAATTTCAGAAATTTTTTGATAATTTCAAAAATTTTTCAAAAAAAAAATTTTTTAATTTTTTAAAAATTAATAAATTTCTCAAAAATTTAAAAATTTCACAAAAAAATTTTTAGAAAATTTTAAAATTTCAAAAAAATTTTTTCGAAAAATTTAAAAAAATTTCCGAAGAATTTCAGAAAATTATTTTTTAATTTTAGGAATTTTTCAAAGAATTTTTTAAATTTTCAATTTCAAATAAGTTTCCAAAAATTTCAGAAAATTTTTTTGAAATTTTTTTCCCCTAAAAACCTTGTTGTAGTTGCTGTTGTAAATGTAAAGAATTAACAACTTCGTCAATATGTTTATTCCTCTCTTCATTATGAAAATTAATTTTTTGTTTATTCCCAACTTTATTTATTGTAAAATTTATTTCTTCTGTTGGACTATTTGGTTGGGGTAATATAAAGTCGTCAGTAAATGAATCTTTTCGAGGTCTACCTCTTTTTCTGGGGCCTTTAAAAAATTAAAAAATTTTCCAGGAAAAAAATTTTAGGGGTTGCGGACTAATTTTGCGGACTTTTCTCTTAAATTATAAGAGACATCCTCTTCGTTAAAATTTTTTTTGCGGATAAAAAATTTCTTGCGGACAAAAAAGTTTTGCGGACAAAATTTTTTGCGGACAGCATGATTTTTGCGGACAAATAAGTAGTTTTGCGGACAAAAAAATTTTTTTGCGGACAAAAAATTATTTGCGGACAAATAAGTATTTTTGCGGACAAAATTTTCTGATATAAAAATATGCGGACAATAAAAATAATTTTTTTGCGGACAAAAAATATTTTTGCGGACTTTTCTTGAAAAAACTCCAAAAACAACCCAAAAATTTTTTACAAAAAAAACCACCTTGCATTTGTTGATATCTATAACGTAAATAACTTGGAGGCATATCCTCAATAATCCCCCCACTATTAATCATCATCATTTGCCATTTTTCTTGTTGTTTAGCCATTACAGCCTGTTTTCTCAATCTGCAATATTGCTGTCTCAATTTCGGCCATTCAGGAAAACATTCTTCAACCGATAACCCCAATTGACGAGCTTCTAAATTCATTCGATCCAAAGCTTTTTTATAAGCATCTTGTGGTAATAAATATAAATCTTTAACTTGACGTCGAGATGTTCGGTCAACTTGTTGAACTAAAACTTGTTCTACTGGTTTGGCTATACATTCTGGGTGATGTTGGGGATACCTTTAAAAAAATTTTTTTAGACTTAAAACCCTCAATATTTTTGACACTCGATATCCCTCTTAATCCACCCAAATCCCATGATTTAAAAATATCAATTGATTTGACACCCGAAGCTTAGAGCCAACATAGAGTGGCTTCAAAACAGAGCTGTTTCAAAATTTCGATTTTCGAAATTACACAAAAATTCAACTTCTTGGTACGAAGAGGGAGAAATCTGGCTTCTGTGCCCTCAAAATTCTCATAATTTTCGCCTGCGGCACTGAACTTCGAAGAAATCTATCCCACAACTCCCTAAACACTTCTGCTATTCCTTGCTAAAGGCATCCTTCCTATTTATGAAGAAAGCCACGCTTTTTCTGCTCCTTCTGCACAGGCTGAACTGGCACATCGTCCAGTTTCGTTGGTTTGTCGAATCGTTGCCGCAATCCCTGCAAAACACACGCCCTTTCCCAGCTGTCGCTTGTAGTTGTTGTTGATTCCGGCAACAAGAGTCGTGTGATGGAGACGGCATTGTAAATGACTGGCGTAGTAAGAGGCAAAAGAAGATCTTGAACATTTCAATTAGGCTGCTTTTATATCCCTCCAAACTTCCTTCTTGAGAATATACTATAAAAGATCCCCAACATTCTTTTGTTTCCCAACACCCCCTACAAAACAATCATCACACCCCTTCAAACATCTACATCGTCTACACAAACAACTCTTCATGCTCGGCCTTCTTCCATTGGAGCTCGACACCGGACCCTGGACCAAGAAGTCGTCAACGCTGTGCTCGTTGCTGCTGCTCGCCATCGCACTTGCAGTTCCTGGACAGGTCAACAGCGAAAAAGTCGGATTCGGTAATCACACATTGGTTGACGAAAAAGTGACGCTCACCGACATCACCGTAACTTCCGACAAGTTGGACTTCGACCTTGGTAGTTGTAAATTCAAGGAGATGTATCCGGACGCCTGCGATGTTTCAATCAAAGACGGCTACATGTGAGGATTTTTAAACCCTTTTTGAAGCTATCGTAACTCATTTTTTAATTTTATTTCAGTGAGCTTCGGTACAACTATGGCAGCAACGGATGCACTGTGGACCTGCTCAGCGAGAACGCGGAGAACAACAACAGGATCAAGTTCAAAACCGGAGTGCGGGGAGACGCAAAAGGAGGACTCAACAAATGCCTTGACGAAAGTGCCAGTTTCGATGGAAGTAATAACAATATGTAAGTTGTGAATTTTCTTTTCGATTAAGTGATTCAACTTAACTACTTAAAATTTTTATAGCTTGCCTTTCGTCTACAGCGTAGACAACACGGTCATCGAACATCTCAACAACAATGGCCCGGTCCCTGGTTCTGGCACAAATTGCAGTAATGAAGATATGTGTTCAACGAAGAATTGCATGCAGTGGACATTCCTTGAGGTCTCGTGGAGCAGGTCTGAGGAAGGGAAATACTACGCTTATACACATCCTGGTGAGGATTTTGTTCATTTTTTAATATCATTCTTAAAATAATTTTCAGTTGGGGAAGTAGTGAAGCAAAGCTTGCAGCAAGCCGGAGCTTCCACGACCTTCGAATTGACAATAGAATCTTCGAGCGCGTTCACGATGCACTTCTCGGGACCAGAGTTATTCAACGCGGAAAAGGCTGCTTGCGTTCCAAAGGACAAACAGACCGTAAAACCCGAAACATGGGAGATCACGAATGGAGAGCACGAGGGCAAACGACTGCTTGTCTTCAGCCTGCTTCGACAGAACGCAACTTTTAAGTACGTTAGTGGCCAACGCGCAGGACATCCAAACGGACCGATTTGTGAACTCTTCGTCCAATTTGTGAGTTTTTATCCATTTTTTAAAACCTTTCTAATCATTTCGTTTTTCCTAGGATGCAAACGACTACAAGCTGCTCCTTGTCACCCCTCCAACAACAACACCACCGCCGACTTCAACGACCACAGAAGCTCCATCAACGGGAACATCAGAGCCGCCTGAAACGACAACAGCTCCCTCTGGTTCTTCATCGACAACTCCGCCTGCGACCAACAACAGCTTCACCTCCATCCGAACGACATCTAGAGCAACGACAAAGTGCCCGGAACAACAGGAGTGTGGCGGAGTACCCTACATTGCAATTGGCATTGCTGCTGCTGGCCTCCTTGTCGGGATCATCATTGCAGTTTTGGTCTGGCTCTGGATGAAGGACAAGGCAGAAAAGGATAAGGGAGGGAAGCAGGACGCCGAACGTGCAGAAGAAGATCGACTGCTTGCGCTGTACAAGGCTGAGGAGAAGACCAAGGGCAAAAAGGCCGTCGGGACATTTGCTGCATGGAAAAAGAATGTGAGTTTAAAAATCGTTCATTTATTAATCAAGCTTTATCTTTTACATTTTTTTCAGAGAAAGAAGAGTGAAACGAAGACTGCGGTGGCGCTGCCTTCAATCGAGAACGAGCTCGACGCAATCTGGAAGAGAGTGGAGAAGAAAAAGGCCATGGACAAGATGCAGTACCTTGTGGATCAGTTCGAGAAGCGGAAGGACAAAGAACTCCTAGAGCGGGGATACAAGCCGGAACTGAAAAAGAAGGGACTTGCAGCTGTTGGGTCTTTCGAGGAGTGGAAAAAGGTGAAATTTTAAACATTTTTTCTCTGAATCTCAACTAATCCCCAATTTTTTTTATTTTTCAGAAAAAGAACATTGCGGCGACGTTCACCTTGAACGACGGGACAAGGACGGCGATTGAATACGAGCAGCCAAAGGTCATCGAGAAGATCGTCGAGGTCGAGAGGATCATCATTGAGAAGCCTGACGAGTGGACAATCGAGGAGAACCCGACACTTGAGGAGCAGGAGAGATTGGCGGAGATAAAGGCGGCGAATAGAGGCGCTGTGGACGGTGTTGAGGTTCCAATGTCTGAGGAGGAGCCGGAGCCGGTTGATGAGAGGTGGATTCCGCCGTCGGAACCGGATAATAATAATAACCCGAGAGAGGAGTTGTGATAAATTTGTGTCACCATATATTGTTCTCTCATTGTATGTATTGTATATTTCTTGTTGTTTGTATTGTATTTGAATTGTTGTATTTAAATTGTATTTTTGATGTGTGTGTAAATAAATTGTTGTTTATTTGTGCTGGTTTTTAGACTCGAAAGATTAAAGGCAAGATGCAGTATAATAATTTCCGAAGCAGCTTAAACCCCGGTTTCTTTTGCAATAATTTTAGTTCTCGACTGGCCTTCCAGGATTAATCCTTTTGGACAAAAAACTCTTTTTCAATTGCCTTACCCTTTTCGCTTTGAACAATCGACTTAATTTTTTGATGATTTGTTACATCCTCCCTTACAATCACTCCAAGTTCAGACAAGATTAGGAAATACCCCTATTTTTAGTTATCCATACACCAATCAAGAATCTACTCCGAATTTTACCCTTGTATGATCTAACAAGGAACCCCCACCCAAAATGTGAGTATCACCTCAATCTTCTTGTATTCTTCTCTTATAGAGGATGGATATCAAGTGTTTAGAAAAAAAAGTCAAGTTTTCAAAATTATCCTCAGATAAGATTTTGGGTCGAAAAAAGGAGCATTTTTAATGTTTCGTGTAATCCCTGACATCACTGCTATAAAACATGGTCTTTTTCAAGCATGGTTCCCCCTGAAATCGACCACCTGGCTATGCCCTTGGTCTCCTTTCAAAATTAATATACTCCCAAATTTCGAGTCCCCTTTTACCCAAAAAAATTATTAAAGCAAAAAAATAAAAATACCTTTCGCTAACAATTTGTCCATCTTCAACAATTAATTTTGCACGTATTTGAACTCCATCTTTTTTAATTAAAGTATCACAGCGAGAACATCGAAAATACATTTTTCTTCCATCTCTGCTTTTATTAGTTAATCTATATTGACGTTTTAAACCCTTTTCGTCATCAATTACTAAAATTGTAGGTGCTAATTTTGCTGACAATTCTAATTTGACGCGTGGAGCATCTTCTGGTGGTTGCTCAAAAATACGATGAGTACGACGCGGCCTTCCCACACGGCTGGAAATTTTGGAGGGAGTTTAATTTAATTAAATAATAATTTGAAAATGGGCCCCAAAAAGTCACAAAAAGTCACCAAATCAAGTTAGAGAAAGTTATTCACTCACACCAAAAAATCACTTTTTAAAATCAAGTTAGCGGATTGAAAGTTGGAGTGTGTAGGTTTGATACGAATAAAAGAAGACCAAATATCAAAAAATATTCGTCTCGGATATCGGTTCCGAAATATAAAGATAATTATAGATTCACTAGGAATCCATAAATAAAAAATATTTCTTACTAGGATGATCCAAATCTAATGTAAAGAGGGTGTGTGAGGGGTTTAGTTAGCACTTGCAATTCTGTGGATGGCGACTGCCCAAAGATTTTTTCTCCCCCTAAAAACCTTCAAAAGGCACTAAACGATTAGTGTTTTAAGGGTTTAGTTCCTTTCGAAGTATTTTGAATTATAGGGGAAAAAGATTTTATGGATCCGAAAAAAGGCCGAATATCAGAGATTATAGGGAAAAAGAAAAGTCTTCTCCCCTTCAAAATAATTCGAAAGGAACTAAACCCCCTAAAAACACTCAAAGCTTCCCCTTAAACCCAATCTCCTAATCAAATTAATCAAAAGCTTAAAAAACCGAGAAAAAGCATTTCTTTGTTGTACAAATGCAGGCACAAAAGAATGTCCAATAATACTAGCCTCTTCATACAATGACCGAGCAGATTGGACAAAAAAATAAAATTCGTGTTCATTTTGACAACAAATCTTCATTTCTATCAACTAAAAAAATCTTTTTTAAATTTATTTTTAAAGAAAAAAAACCTCTTCAGAATACTGACTTCTATGAATCCAAACAGTAAAAATTCGAAGTAATAATTCTGAAGCTACTTTGCAACTTATACCAGGAAAATATGGAGGAAAAGCCTGAAAATTTAAAAAATAATAAATTAAAATTATAGGCAAGGTTGGGTGCCCGATCCGGCCCGGTCCGAAAGATATAGTCGGGCCTTGAATTTTGGCCCAAAAAGGACTAGGTCGGGCCTGCCCGAAAAAACTCGGTTGGGCCAGCCCGATAAAAATGACTCGAACGTCGGCCCGAATAGAAAACCCCAACCCTAATTATAGGGGAGAAAAAAAGTTCCCCTTCAAAATACATAGGAGAGGGCAAAAGTTAAATTTTTTTAATTTAAACAACCGAGAACCAGTGCCCGGTTCGTTTCATGCTTTTCCGCCCATTTATTGGTGAAAAAACCTCATTGAAGATAAGCCGAATTAATTGTTTTGTGGTTGGTTTGATCCAAAATGTAAAACCCAAGGACAGAGCAATCTAAAAACCCAAAAAGCTCACCCGCCCGTACGTGGTTAAAAAGGGTAAAAGTCAGAAAAAGTTCAAAAACTTGTTGGACTCATAGGCGGATTTATTATAAAAACTTTAAAAAACAAACTATAGTTTTTGCGCCTTCTTCAATAGCCATATTTAATGAATTTGTAGTAGCAAGATAAACTTTTTTGACATCAATTAATCTATTCAAATCAATTGGAGAAGGCACGATTGTATGAACAATAACTGAAAGATTAAATATGTGAGGTGAACAAATTTGGGATCAATGGCTCTATAAGAATGGGCGAATCCAGTTGACTAAAGGGAATAGCCAGAAGGCCGATTTCAGGAGGGGGGGGGCATTTTCCTCCTAAAATTTTTTCATTTTTCCGTTTCGGGGGGAGGGGGCTATAGCCCCAGAATCCCCTGGCTACGCCATTGAGTTGGCTAGGATTTAAGGTCTAGGCAAGGTTTCATAATCCATAAAAGTTAACGCCCCCGGCAGCTTATGTCAATCAGTAGGCAAATTAAAGTGGTAAGCGAAACATCACTTAACCACCTGCATGATGGCTATACGTTTGCTTGCTTCTACTTAAAAAGTAGACTGGCCTGACGTCACGCGGTAATATAAGAACGAAAATATCGGGATATTTCAATGTACAAACAGTTACCCTACTGATTTCGGGACCTACGGCCATTGGTCGAAAACACGCAAGAAACATCTTTGTCACACCAATCCCGATATGTCCGCACACCATTAATGGCTATACAAAAACTATACAGGCCTGACTACAAAAAAGGAGTAGTGGATGGATAAAGGGCAGAAAACCTCTTTTTTTATAAAAAATAAAAAAACAAAAAGAATACATTGAAAGTTATCGCTAGCTCCAAAAGCAGACGTCACCCTCGAAGAAGTAGGACAAGCCCCAATAAATTTAGCACAACTTTCTGCCAATTCCGGTCCAGCAAGTTGATGTATATTCTCAAAATAACCCATTCCAGTAAGAATATCAGGGCAACAAAAGTTGATAAAACAATCAGCGTGAACTTTTTCCAAGACTTCGCGACACACAATTACCTGAAAAATAGTTACGTCTGGTTCAGACTACGATTCCTACGCAGTGGTATGCTCTTATAATACCGAAAACCATCCTTCTTCTGATTTTTTCCCCTTCCCCCATTTCGAGGGGGGGGGGGGCATTATCGATTCATTCAAGATTTCATCCAAGCCCCCCCCCCCCCCGAAATTGGGAAAAGGGGGAAAAATCAGATGTATGGTTTTCGGTCAACCCCCTGGCTACGCCCCTGTCCGCTTTATAAAAACTCAAAAGCCTTCATGACTCATAAATCTTGGTTGGATCAATAACCTTTAAATGGACTCATAAACTAGATAAGAGCCAAATAGTTTTATAAAAATTAAAAAAAACCTTTTCTTTAAATAATGAGCGTTTTGTAATTGCAGGTCTTGATGGAATTGTAGAAGACATTTTATAATAACTAGCATAAAATAATTTTTAAAAATCTGAAAAATTAAAAATAATTTTTAGTAGGATTGAGTTTTTGAGAGAAGGAAAAGTGGACAACACGCGCACAAACAAGTCCATATCCCCATCTAGCCACTGTCTTTCATACTGGCTATCCCGCTAATAAAATGTCTCATTCCTTAAACAATTCCAGGCCCAAGTCCGCAAATTTTTGTCCGCAAGAAAAAGTCCGCAAATTTTGTCCGCAAACAAGTAACAAACAAAAATATTTAAAAATATTATAAAGTTTTAAAACAAATAAAAAACAAAATTAAAAAAAAAGTAAGAAAATATTTATTGCAAACAACCAAAAAAAAATAAATTATAAATGTAAAATAAGTTTTTTTTGTTTAAATTTAAATAAATAAATGCGTGTGTGTGTATTACACATCAGCAAAAAAATTTACACTTTTTTCAGGAAATAGAACCAAATTAAATTTTTATTTAAGACAAGAATTTAGTAAGAGAGAGGTAAAAGTTTAGCACCCAAAAACAGGTCTCGATCCTGCGACTTCCTAGGCAGTTTATTGTAAGCGCCTTCACTCACCACTAAGGTTAAAGGCCCGATCCGGTCCAGTCCGAAAGATCGAGTCGAGCATCGAATTTTGGCCCGAAAAAGACTCGGTCGGGCCGGCCCGATAAAAATAAGGCCCGAAAAATGACTCGAACGTCGGCCCGACTCGAAAACCCCAACGCTACTCACCACGTTCTCTTTTAATAGATCTTAAACGCTCCGCCTAGTAAGCGTTTTAAATGCTAGCCAATCTTCCTGAATATTTTTTGGAATTTTCAATGGAATAAGAAATCTCGAAATTTTTTTATCAGGCCAAGTTCGCAAATTTTGTCCGCAAAATTTATTAAAAAATCCGAAAACCAGACGAAAACAAAAACAGCTTCTAAACACTATGAGTGCTCCAGATAGGTCCCAGAAGACCTAATCCCAAACTTAAATCCAAAAATGGGATATTATTTGACAAAAAATATAGGGAAAACAGGGTCGTCAATTCCCAGAAAAGTGCAAATTTTTATAATTATACCATATTTAAATAAAAAAATTCCTCTCATTTCTTCCCAACATATTCAGAACGACGACTAACCGCAATACCACGAACAGCATGAGAAACCGAAGAACTTGGACGATTTGGAGATTCCGGCATAAGACTACGACGTTGAACAGAATTACCAAAACGCATAGGAGGCTGAACTAGTTTTGGTTTGGTGTCAAAAATTGATGAAGAAGAAACTGGTTTTGGAGTTGTTGGTGGTGGTTTGGACCTAAAATGAATTCATTTTTAAATATTTTTTGGAGAGTCAATAAACACGGAGCACGTAAAAAATAAGTCAAATAATAAGAAAAAGGGACCAAAATGGTCAAAAATAAAATTTGGTAAAATCTGACGAAATTTCTGTCGAATTTTGATATGTAAGATACAGGGTGATGTTAACGCTCCAACTGGAGAGCTCAACTTGATTACCGACCCCAATAAGCTCTAATTGGAAACAATTCAAAAAAAAAACAAACTCAGGCATAACACTGCGACGTTGAGCAGTATTACCAAAACGCATAGGAGGTTGAACTACCACAGGTTTGGAACCAAAGACAGATTTAGGTTTTGGAGTTGATGGTTTAGAACTAGAAATAATTATTAGATGATAATTTTGGAAAATCAAATACGGAACAGAATTTAAAATAAACACACGGCTTCTATCCCCCAATAGAATAATGCCACCTATTTAAATGGTATAAAATAGTAATCGACCTGGTCTGGACCGAGGCCTGGGTTTTTCATGTACACAGAGTCCAGGCATTTTTTGACCCTACTGGGTTTTTCCTGGGCCTGGGTTTTCCTGGACTACAGGCCCAGGATCCGGCCCAAGTCGATAAATCAAACCCGGAACCCGAGAACAGGCCCAGGCTTCTCAAAAATCTCGATCACTAACGACATGACTAACTACCGAGGGCTTCGAACCTGAATGTAAGTATTCCGTAAGTCAGTAGCAAGTCGGGTGTGTTATCCAAAAAAGTCTTATTGAAAATTTCCCTAATAACCCCAAAATTCCAAAAACAAACTCAGGCAAAACACTTCGACGTTGAACAGAATTACCAAAACGCATAGGAGGTTGAGCAGCAATAGGCGGTTTGGAGCCAAAAACAGAAGAAGATGAACGTTTTGGAGTTGATGGTTTGGATCTTTAAAAATTTTAATTTAAGAAAAAAGAAAAAAAGCAATACAATGTCTTTGCAGCCTCCACTGGTTTAATATTCTCACGATTAAGTGTAAGAACTAAAAATAAATATAAAATGTAAATAAATACGAGTAGTGAGTATAGGATCAATTTTGACAGTCTTTTCCTCCTTAATAAAGTTGACGGGATCATACCGAACCGAAAAACCATAGGTTTACGGTTCTGTGTCAGTAACCGACCACAAAATGTGGTGAACGAAAGAAACTAGCAAAACCTTCGAGGAGTCGCAGGAATCGAACCCGCTCGTGGATAAACTTCTATCCCCCATACTATCTAACAAAAAAGAAGAGATGGGTTGGAACAGTCAGAGGTGTCGGAACTCGGAAGAGCCGGAAATCGGAACTGGCTCAAAAATCGGAACTCGGAAATCAAAATTTTTTCTGGAAATCGGAAGGAAAAAAACGTCGGGTCGGAATAGCGACCCACCTCAGAAAGGGATTATAAGTAGAAAGAATTATTTTGGAGGGTGACTTGCTGTTTTAAAAGCATAAAGGAAAAGAACGGTTCAATATTGTTGAAAACACGGAATTCTCCCAAATGCCAACCCAAAAACTCAATCTTAAAAAAATAAACAAACTTTCAAAGAGACCATCACCAAGTGTATCATTCAATTCATCGACTCCCAATTGTTTATAACGCGGCACGGTCGGAATAAAAAACTCATCCAAAGTTTGAGAATTTGAAGACATTTTAAATTTTTTTTATAATTTAAAGAAAGTTTTTTTTAATCTAAAAATAATTCGATTAAGCTTAATGGTTAGTAGAGATCGAGATTTTTAAAAAAAAGCCTGGGCCTGTCTTGAACTCTGGGGTTTATTTATTGACCTGGGTAGTATGATGGGCTTGTGGTCCAGGAAAAACACTGGCACAGGGAAAACCCAGGAAGACCAAAAATGCCTGAGCCTGGACTGGGTATTGAAAAACCCAGGCACAGATCCTGACCTATGCAGTATGATGGGCTTGTAGTCCAGGAAAACACTGGCACCGGAAAACCCAGGAAAGACCAAAAATGCCTGAGCCTGGACTGGGTACGGAAAAACCCAGGCACAAATCCTGATCTATGCAGTATGATGGGCTTGTAGTCCATGAGAAACCCTGTCCCAGGAAAAACCCAGGAAGACAAAAAATGCCTGAGCCAGGACTGAGTACGGAAAAACCCAGGCACAAATCCTGATCTATGCAGTATGATGGGCTTGTAGTCCAGGAAAAACACTGGCACGGGAAAACCCCAAGAAAGACCAAAAATGCCTGAGCTGGACTCTGGGTACAAGAAAAACTCAGGCCCATACAAAGCTCGATCACTAATAGTTAGTCAACATAATTTTATGAAACCGTCAAATTTATACTTAAAAAATCAATGCGCTAGCAGACATAATTTATTTAAACATAATAAAATAGAAGCGGAAATTGACAACCGCAGCTGAAAACAAAATTCGAAAAATTAAAAAATTTGTATATTTCTTATTGAAGAGAAATAGTATTGAAAAAAGAGAGATTTGGGACATAACTTCATTTTATAAAAAATAAACATAATGCCAAATAAATAAATAAATTAATTAAAAACGCTCCAATTTTGAATGTTAGAGGCGAACAGAAGAAACTTCTTTGGGCCATAACTTTTTTAATTTTTCAACCGAACGAGATAATTCTTATATCAATCGAAAGCTCTTGATGTGCAGATTCTTTTTCCCAATAACTTTGTTTTTATCAAATGATCCCCTACAAAGTTAGAGCTGAATAACTATATAAAATCACGATTGTCCGCACTTTAACGGCTGTAACTTTTTAACAGTTGCTCTGATCAAATTGATCTTGCTATAAAAAATGATCAGCACATCCAGAGCTTTCGTTTGATATATAGATTAAGTAAAAAAGCTTGGTGATTTTAAAAGAAATGGGTCAAAAGTTGCTTAGAGACTGGAAGTTGAGGATGTGTCTTGTTTTTCCTCTCCAAACAGGCTCCATTTAAAAAAATAATATAACACGATATTCCAAAAAGATGCTGCTTATCAAGGCTTTCGAATTATATATGACCCACTCAGATTGGATTAGAAATAAAAAAGTTGTGGTCGATCAAATATGCCAGGGTCGTCCCCACACAGCACTCAAGTCTCCCCATTCAAGGAGAATTCTCCTCAATTTATTTTTAATTTATTTTTATATGTGTTATTTTTGCAAAAATAATGCCATTTTTAATTTTAAAACCATTTTCCAGCAAAATACAATTTTGCAAAATTACCCGAATTAATTGGAAACAAAATCTGTGTGGGTAGATTAACACTCTTCCAGTACAAATTTAAACAAAAATTTTTTCTGTCGCTAATGACAACACCCAACTTAAAAAAATTTTTTTTTAATTTTTGTATTTTAAAAAGCGAACTTTTATTTAACCTTTAAGCAAACATAACGAATTTTAAATTGAGGGAATATAATTAAAAATTAAAAATGAAACATTCACACGACACATTTTTTCTCCCCGACATTATTTCCACTCTCCTTTTCCCTCTATAATTAAATAAACTTTAATTTAAGGTTAATTTATTTAAATTTTTTTTCCTTGTGGAAAATTCTTCTCATTTTCACCTTTAATTTTTAAAATTTAGAAAGTACTTACTTTGAGTTTTTTCCCTTGAATTTCTCCACAGCAATTTTCCCTATCAATTCTCAATCCTACCCAGCAATTCTCAAGTATCCACAGCAATTCTTCCCCAACAATTCCCCCCAGCAATCCCCCCAGTAATCCTCAAAAACCTACTTTGAAAATTGCTAGGGATAAGTCTCAGAAATTGTCGGTATATATCAAAAATAGGCCAAATATTCTCAACTCTATCTCTATCCTATCACACCTTTAGAGGATTCCATCCGGTATAGTTGAGAAAATGTGTGACAAGTGGGATACGGAGGAGATTTTATTTTATAAGTGACACAAGTAGAGTTGTCGGTTCCTGGAAATTCTTCGGATATCCGAAACCGAACCAAAGAACCGAACCGAAAAATCCTCGGTTTGGTTCGGTCAGTCCTTTCGCTTTACTGTCACTTTGACCCTACTTGGTCTATGGATATCTCGAGTAGTGATACATTATGTGTGATAAGACGGAGTGGCAAACTAAAAATTGTTTTTTTAGAAAATCCACAAACAAAATCAGATAGAAGGTAGACAAATCAATTTAATGGGCTGCTTCATCTACCCAATTTTAATCCATAAGTGTCCTTTTTTATTTTTATTAGCTAGCTAGCTATTTATTTAGTTGTTTAAAATGGCTTTTTTGAAACAATCTCTGACAAAAATTTCTTTAATAAATTATGGGGACGTAATAAACTCACGGGCCATAATGTTGCCCAGGAGTGCTTTATTGTTCCCTTCACACTACTACTGGTCCCTTTGCTTTACTGTCACTTTGTCCCTACTTGGTCCCCTCGCACTACTGTTCCCTTCGCTTTACTGTTCCTTTAACCCTACTTGGTCTCTTCGCACTACTGTTTCCTTTCAACTATTCACTCTACTTTTACCTTCAAATATTGGTCCCTTCACACTACATACAAGCCCCTTCGCTCTACTGTTCGACCAACCCCTCATAACGAAAAATTTTGACACTACATCTTTTTCAGAAACCTTAAAATGACCGTATCTTCGGATCTACATCGTTCATCCAAGTCTTCTATAGACGCCCTTCTGCTACATAAAACAGATTGGCGTTCCATCTATTTTATTACCTCTGTTGCAATGATGGATTCAATGCGTATTTCTACAGTTTTGTCCAACAGTTGGCCATATATTTCAAGCCTTGACCCTGAGATAACTGAAAATTTCAATGGATTGGGTGTTTCTGTGTATACTTTAGGTGAGGACTTTGTGATTCAACCCCTCACTAATTTGTCTACTTCACCCTATGTTCCCTTCACCCTACTGCCACTATGTTTCCTTCACCCTACTGTCCCCTTCACCCTACTGCGACTATGTATCCTACACTCGACTGTTCCTTTCGCACTACCTTTAACCCATTCCCATTCTTCATTAACTAATTAACACCTAGGAGCTGCACTTGCTTCACTTCTTTCTGGTTGGATCAGCAACAAATTATCGCATACAAGGTGGGGAACTTGGTTTTACATTTGAAATATATTTCAACTTTTAGACCCCCCATTATGGCCGGTCAGATAATCGCAATAGTCTCAACTTTACTTTATGCCAATTTGGAATTGATTCCTTACAACCGCCGCTATGGGTTTTTTGTTTGCCAAGTTCTTTTAGGAATTTCTAATGGTTAGATTGATAATTTAACCTCCAAATCCCCTCATTAAGGTGCTATACAAACATGGAGAGTTCATGTAGCTATGTCCAGTACAGATCATGACCGTTCCAAGGCAAACTCGATAATTGGCTTTTCATTAAATATTGGATTTATTCTTGGACCTTGTAATTTTATATTTAAAAAATTTTATCCTGAAGATCAACAACTCTTTACCTTATTCTTACCTTAAGACTACCACAAATATTCTCTTCAGACTATGTTCTCTTCGGGCTACCCCTAATGTTCCCTTCCGGCTATACTTATGTTCTCTTCGGACTATCCCTTATATGTTCCCTTCGGAATGTCTCTTGTATGTTCCCTTCGAGCTACCCCAAATGTTCCCTTCGGACCATCCCTTATATGTCCCCTTCGGACTATCTTCACTCTCCGCTCTCCTTTTTCAAGACTAACACTCTTTGTGATAAAGAGTTGATCTTCTGGGTCAAATAAAAATTTCAACGTTTTTCTCTACAGTGACAGTAATGCTTTTTACCCGCCTCCTCTCAACTTCAATCAGACTTCCTTGGGGTGTCCAATTGAGTATATACACTGCTCCCATGTATTTTATGGCCTTTATGTCAATTATTGGATTAATTCTGATAATTATTGGTTTCGATGGTAAAATGGATAAGCCACACAAACCACACGGAGATGAGAACACTGGAGTATCTAATAATTGTGACGAGAAATGGGCGATTAAAAGCAAAGTTCAGCTGGGTACTTCGCCTATAGATGCCGAAAAGGCGCATTTGGAGATTGTTCCTTCGAGTGACGGTAAATCTTTATGGACATTTGAGTTTTGTTTAAAATTTCCATTTAAGACACTCCCAAAGTTGAAAAACCAAAAGCTTTTCAATTTGATTGGGTTGCTATACTTGCTTGTATCGTTGCACGCCTTTGTATTTGTTTTCTGATTTTATACCTTACGGCATTGGCTGTGCCCTACTCAATGACTACTTTTGGATGGAGTGGAGAACAAATGGTAGCTTTTATTCTAATTTTTATGTTGAGATTCTGGTTAATATTCTGATTTTTTATTTTTAAATTCTGATTTTTATTCTGATTTTATTCTCAAATTCTGACTTTTATTCTGATTTTTTCTTCTTTTACATGTCTTCAACCACATGCTAATTCAATTCTCCCTTGGTATTATGGGCCTCTTTATCTGCTTGGGCTATGCCTTTCGACTCCTCTCACATCTAGATGAACGCCGTTGTATTACATTTGCATTATCCGTAATGCTCACATTCTTCCTCCTAACATATCCATGGCCTTTTCTAACTTCTCAAATGCCTCTTCCAACGTTTGTGAATGAAACTTTGGGTATAAATTATTTGGGAAAATTTTTCAAGATTTAAAAATTAATTTTTAGCAAATTCTACAGTAGTACAAACTATTGCAACTCAAGGATGTTCTCCTCAAAAATATACCTGGTGTTTAACTACGCCGGTAAGGTTGTCAAAAAATTTGATTTTTATAAAATTCTGATTTTTGTAAAATTCTGATTTTTATAAAATTCTGATTTTCACAAAATTCTGATTTTTACAAGATTCTGATTTATGTAAAATTCTGATTTTTATAAAATTCTGATTTTCACAAAATTCTGATTTCCACAAGATTCTGATTTATGTAAAATTCTGATTTTTATAAAATTCTGATTTTCACAAAATTCTGATTTCCACAGAATTCTGATTTTTTATAAAATTCTGATTTTCACAAAATTCTGATTTCCACAGAATTCTGATTTTTATAAAATTCTGATTTTCACAAAATTCTGATTTCCACAGAATTCTGATTTTTACAAATTTCTGATTTTCACTAAATTCTGATTTTTATAAAATTCTGATTTTTAAAAAATTCTGATTTTTGTAAAATTCTCATTACCCAAATTCTCACATAATACACAGGCTATCAACGTCTACGTTTACCATGCAGCTTTAGTCTTTACTTTGGGTTTCGTTATGCCTGTGGGCAACATAAATTTGGATGTTCTTTATTCTCGACTTTTGGGTCCAATAAAACAGGGGACAATGCAAGGAGTTTTTGTTGCTGTAAGCGATATGGTTGGATTTGCTGGGCCTGTTATTGTGACGTAAATGATTTAATCAAATTTAAAGGAGGAACTCGAAACAGACTCGAAACTTGACTATAAGTTTATTCTCAGAGTTTGAACCGAACCAAAAGCCGAAACTTGAGGGATCTAGGGAAATCCTGACGCACAAATTAATTCGAAACTCGAAATTACGCGAAACTCAAAATTACTCGAAATACGAAATTACTCGAAAAACGCGAAACCGAAATTATTCTGAACACGAAATTACTCGAAATACGAAATTACGCGAAACACGAAATTACTGTAAAAATTTTTTAATTTCAGAAGCGTTTACCAATGGGGAGGTCCGAAACCAGTATGGGCTGCAATCATTGCCCTTATTGGATCAGGTATTGCTTTCTGGGTTTATTGCTATCATCGTTTGGTGCCAAAATACAGAACAGTTCAAATTATTGATAAAGATAAAAAGAAACATTTATCTTAAAAATTTTTAAAGTATAAAAATAGTCAGGCTTAGCAGACAAGAAATTAACTCGAAATTCGAAAAATGACGAAACTCGAAATTTCGAAATCGAAACACGAAATTTCTAAATATGTCGAAACTCGAAATTTCGAAATCGAAACACGAAATTTCTAAATATGTCAAACTCGGAATTTCGAAATCGAAACACGAAATTTTGAAATATGTCGAAACTCGAAATTTCGAAAACAAAACTCGAAATTTCGAAAACGAAACTCGAAATTTCGAAACTCGAAACACAAATTTTTAATTTGATCTTTTTGTTAAAAAATGTACATAAGTATGGTTCCGTGACTTTTGCGCCGTGAACATTTGCGCCGCGACTTTTGCGCCGAGCGACTTTTGCGCCGGGGGACTTTTGCGCCGCGACTTATGCGCCGGGCGACTTTTGCGCCGCGACTTTTGCGCCGGACGACTTTTGCGCCGCCACTATTATTACTAATTATAAAAAACTACAGCGGGCCTCACTATAGAAAGGCCGAATTCGGCTATCCGGCCTTTTTCAGATCTGGATATCTGGACCCGACAACCTTAACTATAGTGCACTCTCTTCTGGCAGAAAATCATGCTTGAATAGGGTAGCAGACCAAATATCCTGATCCGAAAAAGTCAAGTTCTTTGAAGATGACACCTCTAGGGGGTCTGTTTATTAGAAGGTACTTCCTGAAATATTGTACTTCCTGAAATTCCTTCAGTTCCTGGACGCCATTTTTTAAGACTTACACTATAATTATGTTCGACTGTAGATATTATTTTTTATGATTATTGCGGCGCAAAAGTCGCCCGGCGCATAAGTCGCGGCGCACAAGTCGCCCGGCGCAAAAGTCGCGGCGCAAAAGTCGCCCGGCGCATAAGTCGCGGCGCAAAAGTCGCGGCGCAAATGTTCTCGGCGCAAAAGTCGTGATACCCATAAGTATTATTTAATTTTTTTGTTTGTGTTTTACTCCATTCCCTTGTGTTTTTTGATTTCCTATATTTCTGTATTTATTTTCGTTTTGTATTTTTTTCTTCAATTTATTCAAGAAACCCCACCTATTTTATAAATTTATTTAAAAAAGCATGAATTAATTTTTTAATTTAATTTATTTTGGTAAAAATCCTGGAACGGAAAATATTATTTAATCAAAATTTCTTCTCAATATTTTTTTATTTATTTTTATTAATTAATGAAAAATAACCATTCCATGCTGTTCTAGACTTGTATACCCCTCCTGTGCGCCAAAAATAGTTTTCAACCTAATAACGCCAAAATGGCGTTTTTTGCGCACACTCTCGAAAAAATTTTTTGCATCCATTCTAGACTTGTATACCTATTAAGTGCGCCAAAAATAGTTTTCAACCTAATAACGCCAAAGACGCCATTTTGGCGTTTTTTGCGCACACCATTGAAAAAAATTTTTTTTGCGAAAATAAAATTAATAAATTTAAACAAGCCAATAATAACAAAAAAATTTTTATTTATTATTATTTTTTAAAATTGTTGTGTGCAATGTTGCTGGAACGAGTAAAAACAAGAAGGCAAAGATTAGAAACGGGAAGAATATTAAATAATGTTTTTTTTGTTTCGCTAAGGGGAAATGAATGAATGTTTTTATTAAATTTTTTTTGCATATAATGAATGCCCAAAAATTTTTTTTTGTTTTTTTTTAATTTAAAGTGTTCAACAAGTGTAACAGAAAAATATTTTTTAAATTTATTTTTATGCATATCACATTATTTTTCTTTTATTTTATAAAATTTCTTAAATAAATGAGGGTGTAGCCTAGCAGTTTAATTTCTTCCCCCACAAATTCTACTCAATATTAATTAGTTTAAATTTATTTTCTAAATTTTTGTTAATGTCTTAATTTAATGTTTTACTAATTTAAATGAGTAAAAAATGCGAAAAAATTTTTCTGAGGAAATTTAATTAAAAATGGGAGTGGACTCTGTAGAGGCAGTTCACGTCAGATAAAAATTTTTTTAAAAATGTTTAAAGAGCACTTTGAAAAGTGAAATTTTGTGGTTATATTCTTTAAAGTGTTAGCTAGTTTGGTGTAAAATTTTATAATTTTTGGGGCATCTTAACCTTAGTTATTGGGAGAAATGTTGGCATAGGTCTCCCCAAAATAGTGACTAGGTGCTTTTATTTATCAAAATTTTTATTTCAAAGCTAGGATTTTGGCAATCTAATCTTGCTATCTAATTCAGATTTTTAAGGGCTTTCGAATGATATATTACTTGCCCTATGAATTCTGACCATTTTGAGAACACTTTCATGTTTGACATTATGAACCCCTGACCATTTATTTTTTGCCATTTTGAAATTTAAATTTTTTTAATTTTAAAATTGATTAAATAACTGTTAGTAAACCACTTTCACAAAATTTTACGTCTCTTTGTTTTCATTGAACAATTTTAAAATTCTTTTAAATGACCTCGGTCTTCGTCAAACTTAATAATAAAAATAAAATTTCATATTCAAAAATTCTTTCAAATTTTTCATTAATATTCCTTTATAAAATATTTTATTCATTTTTATAGGCAAAAAACTCATTTAACCCCCTTTTTACTAAAAATCCCCATTTAGTCGCTTATATAGACCAAAACCTCTATATAGTGAACTTGTCGCCTATATCGGGGTTTACTATATAGAGGTTTTTAAAGACATGTCAGAAACTCGATTAGTTATATGGCTAGCTTGTGGCAGTTCTTTATTAGCCGTTTTAGCTACTATTCTTGGCATTTCGCACATTTATTCCGACTTCTCTCATCTTACACTGCGCATTCGTGGAGGAGTACAGGTGTGAATTAAAAATTATAACTCAGGATAGGATCAACCGTTTAAAATAAAAAATATACCATTCGATAGGGAATTAAATTTGCTATAAAATGATATAAAAATATTAACAAGTTGTCGAGAAGAAAAAAAAGTTATAAGCAAAAAACTGACATTATTTTGAAAATTAGACCTATATTTATTAAGGTTTTTTGCCCACAACTTTTTTCACAATTAACCTAAAATTGTGTTCTATAGCTCATTCGATAGCTAAAAGAATTTCCTATTTTTAAGACTAAAATCTCTGTCCAGAACTTATATTTATTTTTGAGTTATAATGCACAATTCTACTCTAAATCCTTTCTTTTATTACCAACCAGGCCTTTCGTGTGGACACAGATTCTGCATGGATTGACTTGATGGATCTTCAAATGGCAGTAACACCACTCTCTAAACCTCGAGAAAATCCTTTTCAATCCATCTTCCGTCCAAAACGAAAAGTTGGCTCACATTGTGGATGTAAAGCTCGAAATTCAAACTGCCCTCCAGGCCCTCCCGGTCCGCCTGGAACGCCAGGATTTCCTGGTCAACCAGGCCAAGCCGGACAAAATGGTCAACCCGGAATGCCAGGACAGCCAGGTTGAAAATTTTTCTTTTAACATTAAAAGAAATTAATTTTAGGCCCATCTTGTCCTGTGCCCAATTATGACTGTCAACGTTGTCCCGCAGGAGCTCCAGGAAAGCAAGGACCGCCAGGTATAGGCTGAGAGAATATTTATTACATATAATAATAATGTCTCGATTTAATTAACTTTTTAAATTTTCTTTTTAAAGGCCTCCCTGGACCCCCTGGAAGGGGCGGAGCGCCTGGAATGCCTGGAAAATGTATAAACTTTAATTAAATAAAATCAAAGATTTTTTTAATTTCAGCAAGCGGTGTAGGACCAATAGGTCCTCCAGGCCCTCCAGGACCGCCTGGACCTAAAGGCGATTGTGGTGGAAACGGGCAGCCTGGCCAGCCTGGCAAAGACGCTAGCTTAAAGTAATCACCATTTAAAAATCCCAAAAACCTTTAAAAAATTTTTTAGTCCTGTTTTGCCTGGGCCAAAAGGCGTGTCTGGATCGCCTGGTCAAGTTGGCCCGCCAGGACCGCCTGGAGCGGTAAAAATAATTTTAATACAAATTTTAACTGAAAAATTGTTTTTAGCATGGAAAGCCGGGTCTACCAGGCCCAATAGGCCCTCCAGGACCGCATGGTCCCCCGGGGAAACCGGGGGCTTGTGGAGAGGATGGAGAAGATGGATTGCCCGGCCAGCCTGGACAAGATGCTCAGGTAGCAATTAAAATGATTTTTGAGACTCTAATGACCCTTTTCAGTATTGTCCCTGTCCTGAACGCTCAGCTATGGCCAAAGCAGCAAAAGGAGCATAAGAAGAAAATTGAGGAAATTTTTAGTTATTTTAGAAGTTTGAATAGTCTGAATATTTTTATTAGAATTTTAATTGTGAGGCAAATAAATACCCTTACAAGTTTGCCTCACAAAACTACCACATTTTAGAAAATTAATTTTTTCTAATTTACCTATAATTTCCACTGCCAATACCAAAATTAAGAATATTTATTTTAGTAGATTTTGTGTGTATATTAATTGTTTTTTGATAGAAAAAAAAATTTTTTGATAAAAAAATTAATTTATATTGTGTAAATACGGTACTCGTTTGAATACACGAACCGAGGTTAGACTTTCGTCCATAACTCGGGAATGGATTTGTATTTTAAAAATAGAATGGTACCATTAAATAGAGAATAAAATTGTCTACAAAAGGAGCCTAAAATAAAATTTTTTGAGAGAAAAGGAAAAAAGTTGTAGGCAAAAAAGTTGCAAAAGTACGAGTTTTAATGCTTAAATGTTAGTTTTTTGTCAATAACTTTTTTGCTAGGTAACCTAAAATTTTTATTCTAGTCTTATTTTGTAGTTAATTTAATGCTCTATCGAATGGTATAAAATTTTTGAAAAACGGTCAAGCCATTGTAGAGTTATATTTTTTGAACTGAACCAACCTTACCACAGCCTACTTAATATTTAATATTTTATTTTTCAATTTTTTTTCTAAATTTTTTTTTACATTTTTTCTTGCACTTTGCGGTTTGTTCTTATTTTATTTTTTACTTGTTATATATTCCTTATTCCCTGAAATTAAAAGTGGAAAAATAAATTACATAAAGGGTGAAATTTGTGAGGGAATTTCGAAGAAGACCCAATTTTTGGAAGGAGGGCGAATTTTCAAAGTGATCAAAGACAAGGTTAATTACAAGGTACGTACATACAAAAAAGAAAGGAAAGAAGAAAAAGTAGAAGAAGATATCCTCAATTTCAGTTATTAAGTAGTTAGAGGGGATAGGGACGTTTAGGCGCGGAAGCTTGCTAGGAAGTGAGGGATTTTGGTCAATAACTTTTTTCTTTGCTGATAGATCCTGACAATTTTGGTATCATTCGAAAGCTGTTAATATACTGATTTTTTTCTCTGAAAGGATCGATTCGATACAAGCATTTCTTAAAGAGTTATAGCCTATTATGTGGGAAAATCAGGATTATCCCCCCTTATCCATCCACATCAGGGTGTCCCTTTTCAAAACACCAAAATAGGGCGAAGCGACTCAAAAATATGGCAAAAATAGGGCGAAATTGGTCAAAAATAGGGCAAAAAACAGGGCATTGTTTTAAAAACTTAAAAATACTTAAAATTTCAAAAAGAAAGCTATATTATGCATATTTTCAATTAAAAATTTCTTTATCATTAAATATCAAATTGTGACTACAGATTTTATCGTGGATATCCTCTTTAATCCCCGAATACCGTTGGTTGAATTACCTTTAAGAACAGCAAATACCCCATATAATCCAAACCTGATATAACCCTAAGCGCACCATCGATTCACGACCAAATCCCCAAATCCTCGCACTATGATCGAAGAATTTCTTCCAATTTTCAGTGCCGCAGGCGAAAATTTTTTGAAATTTGGAGCTCAAGAAGCCAAATTTCTCTCATTTTTTGCGCCGCAGGCAAAAATTTTAAAGATTTTGGAAGGCCAGGAAGTCAATAATCCTTCATTTTTACCATTTTTTTTACAAAATCCGAAGAATTTTTAAAAATTTACAAGATGGTAAAAATAGGGCAAAAATATGGCAAATGAGAAAATAGGGAAAAAATAGGGCGAAAAGGTCAAAAATAGGGCAAATGCCCTGTAAATAAGGCAAAAGGGACACCCTGATCCACATCTATTTTTCTAGTGATTGGACATCGTCACTTCTTTAAGTTGTAAGAATCCTCACATTCAGAGCTTTCGAATGACATAAAATTTATTCTGATCGGTTAGGAAAGAAAAAAGTTATAGTCTAAAAACCATCCCCAATTCAGACCTTTATACATATGGTAGGAAAATCAAGATTATCTCCATTTATCCACCTATATCTATTTTTTCTAGTGATTGGATATCGTCACTTTTTTGGGCTAAAAATCCTCACATTCAGAGCTTTCGAATGATATAAAATTTATTCGGATCGGTTAACAAACAAAAAAGTTATAGCCTAAAATCCATCCCCTACTCCCCCTGGTTTGCGCCCAAACGTACCAAGTCTCGGTTGCGCAAAAAGGGCAATTGCCCTCCTCACCTACCGCAATTACTCCAATTCTTCCAAAATTTAGTAGTTTTCTTCCTGCTAATGCTTAAAGAGGAAAATGATCGAAGAAAAAAAACATTTGGAGAGTTGAATACAAATCCCCGATTTGCCCTCATTTTAATTTTTGTCCTTGATTTTTAAAGCCTTTTTTGCTTTAATCTCTACCTTAACTCTCCACCCATTTTAAGGAATGAGAGAATCTTCATTTTCCGTAATTATTCAATCCTTTAGTCGTTTAAAATAAAATTTATTTTAAGAAAAATATTTATTATACGAACTTTGAGGGAGAAAATTATTTTCAAGACTCAAATGTCCAAAAGTTCAAAATGCCCAAAGTTCGACGCCCAATCCCCTAAAATTTAATTAAAGTTTATTAAAGCCAAATCAGATGTAATACACCCCCTGGGGCTAAAAACTCGCACCTTATACCTTCTATTTACGTTAACTAGAAGGTATCACTTAGACAGCTCTGCTAACCCGTGAACGACTCCCCCATTTTACAAAGCTCCTTTGTCCTTACTACAAAATATTGGGGGCATCATTAAATGGTGTCTGACTGTATTTATTTTTTAGTCAAAAAATGCTTCAAATTTATTTAATAGTTGGTCATAATGAGTTTTACGTTAAATAGTGGATATCGCTTAGACAGCTCTGCTAATCACTAGACGACTCCCACAATTTGCACAGCTCCCTACCCTTACTATAAAATATTGGGGGCATCTTATAGTTAAGTCTGACTGTATTTACTTTTTAGTCAAAAAATGCTTCAAATTTATTTAATTTTATTTCTAAATATTTTAATATCAACAACTTTGGGATATGATTTATCCTCAGTTTTGGATAATTATATTATAGGAACGCCTAAAGTTGTTTGTGAAGAGACGGAGGTGGCTATGGATATTGTTACTGCTAAACCTTTTATTGGTTGGGTATTTTAAGTTGATAATAAAATACATGAAAATACAAAAAAATACATGAAAACACTAAAATACGAAAAATACAGAAAAAACACAGAAACACAAAAAAATACAAAAAATACAAGAAAACACAAAAAAACACAAAATACAGGAAAACACAGAAAAAACACAGAAAAACACAAAAAATACAGAAAAATACAAAAATACAAAAAAACACAAAAAATACAAGAAAACACAGAAAAAACAGAAAAATACAAAAACACAAAAAAAATACAAAAACACAAGAAAATACAAGAAAACACAATAAAAATACAAAAAATACAAAAACACAAGAAAATACAAGAAAAACACAAAAAATACAGAAAAATACAAAAATACAAAAAAACACAAATACAACAAAATACAATTTTTCAGGCAATATCTTCGTCAAAGGACGCGCCAAAGACACCTCCTGTCGCCAATCTTTTGGAGATTCCCCAAATTTAAAAAACGGTACTAGCGCGTATACCCTAAGTCTTGGAAAGTGTGGAATGCAAAGATTGAGATCGGTAATTTAATTAAAATTAAAAATTTTAAATTAAAAAAAATTTAAAGGCAAGTCCAAGAGGAATAAATTTTGCAGTTACTTTGGTTGTTTCTTTCCACCCAGCTGGATTTATTACAAAAAATGATAAAGCATTTCATTTAAGCTGTTTTTACACAGAACCCGAAGAAATTGTTACTAGCAGTTTTGAAGTCAGGTAAAAAATATGAGAGGGAAAATACAGGGAAAATACAAAATACGAAGAAAACACAAAAATACAAAAAACACAAAAATACACGAAAACACAAAAAACACAGAAAAACACAAGAAAATACAAAAATACAGAAAAACACACGAAAACACAAAAATACAGAAAAATACAAAAATACAAAAAACACAAAAATACAGAAAAACACCGGAAAACACAGAAAAATACAAAAACACAAAAATACAAAAACACAGAAAAATACAAGAAAATACAAAAAACACAGAATACACAAAAACACAAAAATACAGAAAAACACAAGAAAATACAAAAATACAGAAAAACACACGAAAACACAAAAATACAGAAAAATACAAGAAAACACAAAAACACAAGAAAATACAAAAATACAAAAAAATACAAAAAAACACACAAAAATACAAGAAAACACAAAAAAACACAGAAAACACAAAAATACAAGAAAATACAGGAAAACACATTTTTGTGTTTCACTTTATAATTTTAAGTCATTTACCTCCACAAGAATTGAGCGATCAAATGTCTCTTCCAAGTTGTCGTTATTCTGTTCACTCAACAGGCTGGGATGGTCCCCAGTTGAGTTGGGCTAATGTTGGGGATACTGTATTTCATGTGTGGGAGTGTAGAGGTCCAGAGATGGGAATGCTTATTAAAAAGGTGGGGAAATACAAGAAAATCAAGAAAACACAAATTTAGTGTTTTGTAACGGATGGGGATGGAGATGACCACGCAGTTGTGGACGAGAATGGGTGTTCCCTAGACCTTGGCTTGATAGATGAAATAATTTATGCTGAAGATGGGAGGATGAGGGCATATGCTAAGAGTCATGTTTTTAAATATGCAGACTCCAATCAACTCTTCTTTACCTGCCAAATTAGGTAAAGTTTCAAAATGGTCAGAAATAAAAATGGTCAGGAGCGGGCTGTGCGCCATGGCGTTTGGCGTCCATTTTTGGCCGATTTTTGGTGTTTTGCGTTTGGCGTGATCTAAAAATTTGAAAAAAATGGCGTTTGACGCGCCATGCGAAAATTTTGGCGCACAGCCCTGGTCAGAAATAAAAATGGCCAAAGTTCAGAATGGTCAAGGTTCAGAATGGTCAGATATCCAAAATGACCATCCTTGACCATTTTTTACTGACCCATTTGAAAAATATATAAATTTGACCACTTTACAACTTTTTATTTTTTGTAGAATGTGTCAAAGACAAATGGATATGTGTCAAGGAATAACACCACCAAAATGTTCTGGACAACAAAAAGAAACAAAAAAATCCAAATTAATAAAACAACACAATAAAGATGAAAATAAATATAGAAATGAAGAAAATGAATTTGTTGATATCCCAGAAAGTGCCCAAATAGAAAAAGTTTTGGTTAAAGAAAGTGAGGCTGATTGGAGCTTGGATAGTGGGGTGGTGTTGGAAGATGGGGGGACGGAGAAGGGGAAATTGGTTAAGGGAGTGTTGAAGCAGAAGATGAGGGAAGAAAAGGGGATGAAGAAGAAGGAAGAGATGAGTGAAGATAAGGAGGAGGGGAAGAAGATGAAGGAAGAAGATGAGGAGGGGAAGAAAAAGAGGGAAGAAGAAGAGAGGAAGATGGAGGAAGAAAAAAGGGAAGAAAATGAGAAGAGGATGAAGAAAAGGGGAGAAAAGGAAGAGAATGGTGAAGGGAAGAAGAATAAAGAAGAGAAGAAGGAAGACTTCAAAAAAGAAGCAAATAGTGAAGCTGGACAGGAAAAAGTAGTTAAGGAAGAAAATAAGGACAAAAAGGAATTGGGACAAAATGTCACAGTCAAAAATGCAATTAATGAAGAAAACAAAAATTTTAATAAAATTGAACATAAAATGGAAAAAAGACGAGAAAAAATCGCTGAGGAGGAAGAACAGGAAAATGGGGGAGAGGAAGAAGTTGAAGCTAATAATGATTGGAGTTTGTTGGTTAAAGGAAGGGGAAGAAGAGGTGAGTAATTTAATTTTTGTTGCAAAATGGTCAATTAAAAATTTTTTCATAATGGTAAAAATAAAAATGGTCAGATAGTATGGGTTTGAAAAGTTGACCATTTTGGTCACTGACCCTTTTGAAAAAATATTAAATTGACCATTTCGAACTTTGACCATTTTTAAACTTGGCGTTTTGTCCAAAAATTTTTAAATGAAAAATTCAGCCCTAACATCACTACAATCGCTACCTTCTACCTCATCTCTCCAAAACCACAAAATAGAAGTAGATGTGGCATCCCCCCAAATGCTCGTATTAGATAACGAGGATTATGCCCGCATTGGAAAATTAAAGGAGGAAAAGACCAACAATTTAATAAAAAATTTTGAAGAAAAAAATATAGTAAAGGGAAACTTGTGTGTTGGAACAGACCATTTAATTGTTGGAATATTGACGGTTTTGGGGGTTATGTTAGCTGCTTATGGAGCTTTTTGGATTTTAGAGAAGCGATGGAAAAGAAAAAATGTTGATGAAATATTTTATTTGGGTGGAAAGTTGATTTGTCGGTGATTTTTTGGGAATTTTTTAAATTTGGGATCAAATGTCATTTTTGGGTTACTGTAGAAAAATGAGAGGAAATTGAGAGAAAATAGTTTTTTGTGGGGGTTTCGAGGATGCTGATTACGAATTTGGAGTTTGTTTGGCATTCTGATTTATTCTAAAAAAATTTTGGGCTCTAATTTCTGTCCCGGAATTAGTCAGTTATTTAATAGGGCCTAGGGAAATTTAATTTTATTTCTCATTTTTCGACAATCAAATAATCAAAATTAATTTTAATTTTATTTTTTAAAATATCTTGGAGGGGGATTTAATAAATAATCTATTTTTAAATTGAATAAAATTTATTTTTTTTTGTTGAAAATTTTGAATTGGGATATAATGTCATTTTAAGGGTTAGCCTATTTTTGTGGTAAAAATAAATTTAAATTTTGGTGTAAAATTATTAAAATTGATTTTTGAGGGGTTTTAATATTCAAAAAATTATTCTGAAAATTTTTCTGATTTTCAGAAAATTTTTTTCTGATTTTTTCAGATTTTTTTTTCTGGCTGATTTTTCTCTTCGCCCAAGCAATTTTCCTCTTTCCTTTCCAAAATTTAATTTTTAATTAATTTTTAAAAATAAAAATTTGGCAGTTTTATTATTTTCTCTATAATTTTTTTACTAAAATTTCTAAAATACTCTCAAAATTCTTTTTTTTTCAAATAATTATATCATTGCTTCTTTCCTCTTCATTTGCTTTCTAAGCGCGTTTCTTTGCCTTGAGCACAGATGAGCGTGGTGGGCAGGGACAATACTTTAATTATTTAAATTTTAAAAGGGTTTATTAGAGTATATCTACCTGAGCATCTTGTCCTGGTTGGCCAGGGGGTCCGTGAGGACCAGGTTGTCCTGGAGCTCCAGGCTTGCCTGAGGGGCCGGCAGGGCCGACTGGTCCTGGAGGGCCTTCTGGGCCGGGCTTTCCGGGCTGAAATTTTTTAAAATTAATTCAGACTCAAATGGCTCTGTGTCCTACCACTCCGGCTGGTCCAGGCTTGCCAGGTTGGCCAGGGGAGCCTGATGGTCCTTTCGGTCCGGGGATGGTTGGGCTAAAATTGAGGATTGAATTTTAAATTTTTTGAAGAAAATATTTAAACTTACTGGCTGACTCCGTTCTTTCCTGGTTGTCCTGGTTGTCCAGGTCCTCCGTGCTTTCCTGCTGGTCCGGGGGGTCCTTGTGGACCGGCTGGGCCGGGAGGTCCAGCACCGCTGCCTGTGAAGAAATAAATTAGTTAGCTTTGTTGTGATTTTTTAAAAATTCGTAAAAATTTTAAATTGTGAAAATAATAGCTTGTTTGAGAGAGCTCTTCGAGCTGAATCGAATGCTACCAAAATCAGTAAATTTCTGAGGGGTTGAAGAGAGTTGGAAGAGAGAATGTGAGGTAGCTTCCTAAGTCTTATGCTACTCTCATTGATTTTTTGACAATATTTTTCCTTGTATTTTTTTTCAAAATTGTTCAATCCTGTAAAATTTTATATCATTCGATTCAGCTCGATGAGCTCTTTCAAATAAGCTATAACACAATATTATTTGGAATTTATTGAATTTTTAAGAGAGAAAAATGTGGGTTCAAGCTGTATATTTAACTAATTAGTATTCAAAAATTTTTAAGTTTAAATTTATTGTCAACTTACTCTTTCCTGGTGCTCCAGGCCTTCCAGGTTGACCGGGTTGACCAGCTGGTCCTTGCTTTCCTGGAGTTCCAGGGGCTCCGGCAGGGCATCGTTGGCAGGCTTGTTGGGGAAGTGGGCATGGAGGGGCAGGCTGTCCTGGAGATCCTGGCTGTCCGACATGTCCGGGTTGTCCTGGATGACCGGGCTGGCCGGGTGGGCCAGGGGGTCCTGGGGGACCAGGTGCGCCTGAAAAAATAAAATTAGAATGAATTAAATGGCAAAAATAGGCAAAAATGGCTAGTTTGGGGGAGTTTAGGCATGAAATTGAAGCTTAGATGGCCTAAAAGTTTACTTAAAAGCCATTTAAAAGGCTGTTATGAAGGTTAATAGTCTTCTAAAAATGTCAAAATATTTAATAAAAATATTTGGGATCAAATGTCCAAAAAACCAAAAATGACGAAAATGTTGGGGACCAAATGTCCTTAATGTCAACTAGTGGCAAATTGACTGCTATTTTAAAAAATCCAACATACAATTAATCTCCAACGGTTGGCAGATACAATAATCCGGCAAGGAACGTTTCTGCCTGTAGAGAGATTGGAAGGGGTTAGAACGAGGCTTCGATTGGGGAGTAACGGCAACTTGTAATTCCATCAAATCATTCCAGGCAGAGTCTGTATTAACCCGAAAAGCTTGGACACCATCTCGTACACGTAAATTCAAGTCGTTAATTTGGGAATAAAGTTGTGGCATGACCACTAAAGTGGCCATAATCGCCAAAAGAGAGGAAAAGCAGGCGATGCCGATGACTACTTTTGTCTCTTGCATTGCTCTGAAAATTGAAAATTTTCTTTTTTGAAAATTTTTTTGAAAAGATTTTTTTGAAAATTTTTGGAAATTTTTTTGAAAAAATTTTTAGTTGGACAAGACAAGGAATTAATAGGAAAAAATAAAAAAATTTTAATTTAAAAAATAATAAAATCTCTGGGAGACTTCTTAGGAGGTGAAAGGACGAGGAAGAGTAATGAGAGATGAGCTGGGTATACTGTAAAAATAATTTTTTACAGTTAATTTGATTTTTGGAAAAAAAATTTTTTTGTGTTTTGAATTTATTTTTAGGCGGAAAATTTAATTTTTGGATTAAAAAATAGAAAAAAATTTTTGAATTTTTTTTGAAATTTTTTGAACCCCCTAAGAGGTGATCTTAAAAGGTGAAAGATCTTTTGGGTAGGCGATCTTTTGGGGAGGAGAAATTATTTAATTAAACTTTTCCCCCCACAAAAAAGTTTTACCAGTCAAGTTTTACCCTTCAAGTTTAATTAATTTTTGAGAATTGTAAAAGGTGTGTTTTGTGATTATCACACACATTTGCAAAAATAATCTATTTATTCCGCCTTTTTATACTAAAAGTTTTTTTAATGGAATTTGTTGACAACCTTTTTTATTTTTTTACACTCCGCCTTAAACTTCTTTAATTTACCAAATTTTTGTTCAAACTGTTCTTTACGTAAATGAAGAAGGATGACGATATAGGTAAAAGGCCAAAGAGGAGAAAAATTGAAAAAAACTTTTAAAATTAAAAATTATTCTATAAGTGGACATTAGAGTCTGGAAATTTTTTTGATTGTTTTTTGGCCATAACTTTGTTGGGATTTGACCGAAAATTTTATTTTTGGTATCAGTTTGTAGGCAATTCAATTCTCTATCGAATGACACCAAAATTATTTCTGAATTATTTTTTAGTCAAAAGTTATAGGGCTTAAAGCAAAGCTGATTCTTATACCTGAAAATTTTTTTGATGCTTTTTTGGCCATAATTTAGTTAGTTTTTAACCGAAATTTTTGCTTATAGTATTATTTTGTAGCCAGTTTAATTATCTATCGAATTACACCAAAATTATGGAAAAATATTTTTTCAGTCAAAAGTTATATAGCTTAAGGCAACGCCTGTTCTCATACATGTGTTTATTTTCTGACCAATATCTCTTTTATTAATTTTTAAAAAATTTATTTAAATTTATTTTTATAGCTAATTTAATCTTCTATTAATTTACACCAAAACATTTTTAAATGTTAATTCGAGAACACGATATTTTTAAAATCTCCATACTCTACTAACCCCTTTAAATGTCCTTGCTCCTTCTCCCCCCAAAAATTTGCTTTTCAATTTTTCCGTTCTGTTCCGCTTCAATAACCACTTTTCGGTTATATTACCAAGAAAATTTAGTGTTTCTTCCCTTCTAAATAAAAAATATTAAAAAGGCTAAAAAACTGCGGCATAGATAGACCGGTTTATTTTTAAAAGATTTATTTATTTAATTAATTGCTGTAAAAATATTCAGTAAATAAACATTTTTGGGAAAGTTTTGTAAAAAAAGTTGGTTAATTACAATTTGTAATAAGTTGGAAAAGTTTTGTGAAAAAAGTTTATTTTTGAGTATGTTTTAAAAAGTTTGTAAAAAAGTTTATTAATTTTACAATTTGTAATTTGTTGAAAAAAGGTTGAAAAAAAGTTTATTTTTGGAAAAGTTTTGTAAAAAAAGTTGGTTAATTACAAATTGTAATTATAGGAGGAAAAGTTTGCAAATTAAGTTTATTTTTTTAAGTTTATGCAAAAAAGTTGTATTAATTTTACAATTTGTAATAAGTTGGAAAAATGTTTGTTAATAAAGTTTATTTTGTGAAATGTTTGAATATATTGTTAATTACAATTTGTAAATTTATTAAAAAGGTTTGTAAACTTAAGTTTATTTCTGAATTAAATATTTTTTAAGGCTATGAGATTTTTCCTCATAGTGTTTTTAGAGTGATAAATTTCAAACAGACTCTCTTTTTCTTTTTAGCCCGAAAAGTTTTTTTAAACAAAAGAATCCTTTGTTAATCAGTCAAATGTTTGTGTGTTGTGTTGTGTTTGCCTATACATATGACATAATCATATGTTCTGTCATATGCCTTGCCAATCAATTGGCAATGCCTTAGAATCCACGAGCATTTGTCCGCGCAATGAGGAGAGTTAAAGGCAAGGAAATAAAAAATATTTTTAAATTTTGTAGAAAAAATTCCCCTTCAACCCCTCCATAATCCCCTTTAAACATTTTTCTGTTTGTCTAAAATGAAGGTTTTTGCTTTAAAATATGCTCCCGTTTTTGTCTGCTTTCTAACAGTATTTATAATTTGTGAGATTGTAAATTATTCTGAAGGAGTTCCAACGGGTAAGTTTATTTAAAGTTTGATTAAAATTAAATTACAATTGTAAAATGTTCATATTTTAAAATAAACTTTAATTGTAAACTTGATTGTAAATTGTAAAACAAGTTTCAAGTTGATAAAAAAAAAGTTTGACAAAATTGTAAATTTTTACAATTTTAAGAAGTCAAAAAATCTGCAGGGATTACAAATTTAAGTAAAAGTTTAGCCAACATTAGAGGAGGAAAAGTTATAGGATTAGTAGCAAGTTTAGCAAGTTTTTTTTTTTTTAGTAGCAAGTTTTTTAAGCCCCATGGTGCTTTATTTTAGGAAATGCAGTATGTACATTAGAAGAAAAGAAGATTTTGAGACTAAAAAAAGATTCGATATATTTTTTAATTTTTTTAAAATGCATTTTTAAATTTCACCCAAACGATTTTTAAAGGTGTATAAATCTTTATTTTATTTGATTTAAATTAAAATTACAATTTCCGCTTGAAATTGTAAGTTTGCAATTGTAATTATGTGTAAATTAATTTAACCATTGTCTAACTGAAAATGCAACCTGAATTACAAATTGTAAAAAAGTTATAATTTTTATAAAACTTGAATTACAAATTGTAAAAAAGTTATAATTTTTATAAAACTTGAATTACAAATTGTAAAAAAGTTATAATTTTTATAAAACTTGAATTACAAATTGTAAATTGTTTACAATTACAAATTGTTTTCTAATTACAATTTGTAAATTTATTTAAAATGTTTGTAAACTAAAGTTTATTTTTGAATTAATACTTTTAAGAAGGTTAGACCTCGCATGAATTTTTATTTGTAACTTGTGTTTGAATTGAGCTAGAAATTTAAATTTTATATCATTTGAAAGGGGAAGATCTGGGCTACAATATATTTAAAAATCATAATTTTATTTTGTGTTTTCAAAATGTCATGAATTTTTAAAACAGATTTTCTCTCCATGTTTTTAGGGCCAAGAAGTTTTTTAAACAAAAAATTTTTTCTCAATCAGTCAGATGTTTAAGCATGTGTTTATCCATGTGATAGAGTCTCATGTCTTTTCACATGTCTAGTCACCCGCTTTAATCAATTGACAATGCCTATAAAATCCACGAGACCTCGCCCGCGCAATGAGGAGTGCAGCGAGAGAGTTAAGGGTGAAGAAAGAGAAAAAATTTAAAAATCCCCCTCCTCCCTTCCTCCCTCCCTCCCTTCCTCCCTCCCCCCTCCTTCACTCCCTCCTCATTATTCCCTTTATTGGCATTTTTCCTTCCCTCCATAATCCCTTTTAAAAAATTTTTTATTCGTCTGAAATGAAGGTTTTTGCTTTTAAATATGCTCCCGTTTTTGTCTGCCTTCTAACAGTATTTATAATTTGTGAGATTGTAAATTATTCTGAAGGATTTCATACGGGTAAGTTTATTTAAAGTTTATTTTAAATTAAATTACAATTGTAAAATGTTTGTATTTTAAAATAAACTTTAATTGTAAAACTTGATTGTAAATTGTAAAACTTAATTTACAATCAAGTTTTACAATTAAAGTTTATTTTAAAATATGAGCATTTTACAATTGTAATTAATTTAAAATAAACTTTAAATAAGTTTTAAATTTACAACTTTGTCAAACTTGTTCGTCTAAACTTGTTTTACAAACAAGTTTGACAAGGTTGTAAATTTTTACAATTTAATTATTTAATTTTTTAAACAAGTTTATAATTTTACAAACTTAAAGAAACTTTGTTTCCAACACTGCGAGAAAAAAGAGCAAGGCCTCCTTTGTCAAGGAAGGAGAATAAACGAGTAGTTAAAAAGAAAGGAACCGGGATTGTTGGAACACTTAAGAGTGCGAAGAAAAGTTTGGACAATAAAAGTATTACTGGAACACAGGCTGTAGGATTAACGGCGTTAGGTGTAGGTCTTGGAGCAATTGTCGGGACCGTGGGTGGTAGAGTTATAGAAAAAGACCAGCAAGGATATATGCAGCAACAATATAATGGTGGAGGATTTGTTCCTAATTATCGTTAGTTTTGAGGGAGATCATCTAGATAATAAATTTTTAATTAAGAGCAACCCGCAATCATGCCCCAACCATTTATGCCCCAGGTCCCAGGAATTCCTTGTTACTAAATAGAAAAGAAGAAAGGAAGATGTATAAAAAAATTTTTTAAGACTAAAAGAAGCTTCGATATATTTTTTAAAAAATTCCTCTTTTTTTAAATGTATTTTTAAATTTAAATTTCCCCAAACGATTTTTAAAATGTGTATAAATCTTATTTGAAATATTTGTTTTGGATAGAATTACAATTTCCGTTGTACATTGTAATTTTACAATTGTAAATATTTATAAATTAATTTAACCATTGTCTAACTAAAAATGCAACTTGAATTACAAATTGTAAATACAAATTGTAAAAAGAAAAGAAGTTTAAATGATTTGTATAAAACTTGAATTGCAAATTGTAAATTATTTACAAATTGTAAATAAAACTTGAATATTTTTTTAAAGTTTATTTTCAAGTTTTTTAAGCTGCACTCGGAAATGATGTTTGTTGATTTCTCAATATTTCCTGCTTCCCTGCCTTTAATCTTACGACATGACAGAATATGAAATTTTCGGCATTGTCAGACATTAAAGAGATTTGCACTTTAGATAGACGTGTTGTTATTGAGAAATATTAAAGTGCATGAATGGGGATAAAGCTCTTTCCCTTAGTTTTTTATATTTATTTATTTTTTATTCAAAGATTTCTTAATTTTAAATAAAAAATGCCCTACAAGACAATAATTTATCTCAACATTATTTTGATTATACTTTTTGAATTTTATTCGGAGACTAATGCTGAGATAGTGGGTGAATTACATCGCCGAGGTTATAATTAATTATAAACTTAAGTTTAAGCGTTAAATTAAACTTAATATAATTCAAGTTTATAAACTTGCATTATTCAAGTTTGTAAATTAATTTCAAGTTTATTTTCAAGTTGTAATTACTAGTTTTACAATTTTAATGAATAAAACTTGGAAATAAATAAACTTGAATTAAATTACAAATTATAAATAAAACTTTAAATTAATAACAAACCTGAATAATTCAAGTTTATAAACTTGTATTATTCAAATTTGTAAATCAATTAAAGTTTATTTTCAAGTTTTATTTACAATTTGTAATTCAAGTTTTATTTTCAAGTTTTACGATTTTAGTGAATAAAACTTGAAAATAAACTTTAATTAAATTACAAACTTGAAAATAAAACTTTAAGTTAATTGTAAAATTGAAAAATTCAAGTTTATAAACTTGAATTATATATATTGTATATAAAACTTAAGTTTACAATTACAATTAAAGTCTTTTAATTTTTTACAAGTTGTTCGAAGCGATACAAATCAAGGAAAAGGCTTTTGGCATAAAACTAAAAAGCTATTTAAAACTAAAGAGGGTAAATGGAGCAAAACAAAAATAGGGGCGGCAGGCGGATTAGCACTTCTTGCTGGAGTTTTGTTAAACGGGAATAGCAATACTGTGAATACTACGGGGTATCCAGGGATGATGCATCCAGGAATGATGCAACCTTATTGCTACTATTGCATGTAAAGGGGAGAAAAGAAAGAAAGATTTTTTTTGGAAAATTTTGAAAATTTATACAATAATTTTAATTAAAAATTCAATTTATATTTAATTAAAAAATTCAAGATTCATCATTTTAGCAGATTTTAATTAATTTTAATCATTACAAAAATCTTTATCACACACATGACATTTTCCTTTCCCTTCTAAATAAATTTTTAAAAATTATTTTTGTTTAATTTTTAATAAGCTTACTTGAAAATAGACAAATCCTCGAACCAGCATTGCATTGAACTGCAGATTTAGGTGCGCATGTACGTAGAACAAAAGGAGCTTAATTAAATGTTATTTAAAATAAACTTAAGTTTACAAAGTAAAGTTTACAATTGTAATTTTATATTAATTCAAGTTTATTTTTAAATTCAACCTTTTTCAAGTTTAATTACTTTTGTAATTGTAATTCAAGTTTATTTACGTAAATTAATTTCTATTCAAGTTTGTAAACTTTAAATTTCAAGTTTATTAATAAATTCAACTTTTTCTAAGTTTATTTAATTTTCATAATTGTAATTCAAGTTTATTTTAATTAAAGTTCAAGTTTGTAAACCTGAATTTTAGGTTTACTAAATTTCAACTTTTCCAAGTTTAATTATTTTTGTAGTTGTAATTCAAGTTTATTTAAATAAATACGGTTCTAATTTATTTTCAAGTTTGTAAACTTGGATTTCAAGTTTATTTTTATATTCCGCCTTTTTCAAGTTTTATTATTTTGTGATTGTAATTAAGGTTCGATTAATTGTAATTTAGGTTTATTTTTTCCAAGTTTATTTTTTCCAATATTATTTATAAGCATTTTCAAGTTTGTAAACTTACATCTCCCTTCCTCGCAAGAATATTTATGACAAACATAGTCAATATCTTAAAAATAAATTATTCACTGATAATTTATTAAATTTACCCAAACTTCCACTAGAACACTGTTTTTGAACATAGCGTTTGTTCTGGCCAGAGTAGCATTGTTTTGCTGAATCGGAATATTGTAAAATTAAAAATAGGAGGAAAATAGGGGATAGATTAATAATTATTGAATTAAACATTTTTGTTAATTTTTACTTGATTTTTAAATTTAAAAAATCAATGAGCGGAAGAAAAACAGAAATTTAACCTTTCAAACAATTATTGACTGAGGTGCTCATTGTAATAAAAAATAAAAACGGGGGCAAGAGGGAAATAAAGTGTGTTTTCTATAAAAAATATAGAAAATTGGTGTCTACAGCTTTTTAACGATTTTAAAACAACATGTGATTCATAGCATATCTGGTAGAAAATTAAATCCAAAAGATCAACAAAATATTAAAAACAACTGTTGGAATACTTTTTAGTTTAAGTTTTAAGTTTACAACTTTAAGTTTTACAATTTGGATTTATAATTCCAAGTTTTACAACTTTAAGCTTACGTGTTTTACAAGTTTATAAACTTAAGTTTTTACAACGTCAGGCTTAAACTTTTAAGTTTACAACTTTAAAAAAGTTTACAACCTTAAGTTTTACAATTTGGATTTATAATTCCAAGTTTTACAACTTTAAGCTTACAATTTACAACAACACACTTTAAAGTTAAATTTTACAATTTTAAGGTTTGCAACTTTGTTTTCAAGTTTATAAACTTGAAGTTTTTACAACGTTAAGTTTAAACTTTAAAGTTTACAACTTTAAAAAAGTTTAAAAATTAAAGTTTTACAATTTCAAGTTTACGATCTTAAACTTAAGTTTTAGAACTTAAAAAGTTTTACAAAACAGAGTTTTGCAACTTTGTTTTTACAAATTATTAGTGTGTTGAATTAAAGGATATTTTGATACTCTAAAATACAGTTTAAAAAAAGACGTTTGTATTTTTTATTAAATTTTTAAATAATACAAATAATTTCAAAAAAATATTTTTCTTTAAAATATTTATCAAAAAAAATTAGCAGGAAGGAACATTTGTAGGCCAATCACAAACACTTATTGCAGGGTTAAACACCGTTCCTTTACCACAATCTTTTTTTATCCATTTTCCTCCAGCACATTGGTAAAATTTGGAGCAGTTTTGACGGTCTGAACGAAATCCTGAGGGGCCTGGGGATTCCTAAAATAAAAATTCTTTTCAAATTTTCATTTTTTACCTCATGACCGTATTTCTTCTAATAGTGTGACCGGTCGGTTTATTTTTCAACCTTCCTCTAGGGGGTTGGTTTATTAGTAGGGGTCGGTCTAATAGAGAGAGTCGCACTATTAGAAGAAATACGGCAATTAGGGTTACACCCCGAACGCTCGGGAGCGAGAATATTGGGGTGCGGAATTTTCACATTATTTCGGGACGGGGTTCGGGTTGGAGGTTCAAAATATTTAAAATATGGTCAAATAAAATCAAAAAAACTTGCCTGACATTTCTCATAAATTCCTTCACTATCCTCTCCAATATTTTTATTTATTCCATTTTTATTTCCACATTTATCAAAAGCTTCACATTTCCCCAAATAAAATCTTTCACCATAAGGACAAATTTGTTTATAAAATTTTCCATCCCTACAAATTTCATATTCTGATTGGCATTCTGTTGTTTTTGGAGAAATTATTGGGCGTAATTCTCCTTCGAAACAAGGGGGTATATGTGTAGATAAACATGCATATTTTGGGTCACATTGGCTTAACTGTTGAGAAAAAAATTTTTTTAATTAAATAGACATAATGCCAAGAAAATTGGAAAATTTGGGGAAAATACGGTATTTTGGCATAATGTCAAAATACCCCCAAATTGTTGCCAAAAATAAAATTGTAAAAAAATTTGCCTTTGGATTAAACCGATGTCCCAAATGACAGCTTTCCTCAACATATTGGCCGTAACGGCAAAGTAAATATTTGGAACAGTCCCGAGGGTGTACAAGTGTATGTCCTTCTACACATTGGCCATTATTGGTGATTAAATCTGGAATTTATTAAGAGGATTTTTTCGATAGATAAAAGGGTCTCTTTTAAGAGAAAATAGTCATCTACTAAATAAAGGATATATGTTATGGATAGTATGATACCTTATTTAATAGGAATCTTTAGTTAATATCAATCCGAAAGGTAATATCAATCCGTCTAGTTCAAAGAGAACATTATTGGTAGGGCGTAGGGAACATTGACTTTAGTTTTCCGTTCGAAAGGAACATGAAGAGTAGGGCTTAGGGAACATTGACTTTAATTTTCCGTCCGAAGGGAACATGAGGGTAGAGAGTAAAGAACATTAAATTGAGGTTTCTCTCCGAACGGAACATTAATGGTAGGGCGTAGGGAACATTGACTTTAGTTTTCCGTCCGAAAGGAACATTAAACGGTAGGGCGTAGGGAACATTGACTTTTGTTTTCCGTCCGAAAGGAACACTAAGAGATAGGGTGTAAGGAACATTAAATAGAGGTTTCTATCCGAAAGGAACATAAGAGGGTAGAGAGTAGGGAACATTGACTTTAGTTTCCCGTCCGAATGGAACATTAAATTGAGGTTTCCGTCCGAAAGTAACCTTAAGAGATAGTGTGTAAGGAACATTAAATTTAGGTTTCTATTCGAAAGGAACATGAGTGTAGAGTAGGGAACATTAAATAGGCTTAATTAAATACCAACTTTTCTGGCAATTAGTTAATTCGCTACATTTGCCGTCTACAAAGGCCATAGAGTTTGGGCATTCAAATTCGTGCCAATTTCCATCGCGGCATTCTTTAGCCTTTCCACAATGGGGTAAGGGTTGGCGTAGACCGGAAGTACAGTTTGTAGGTAGACAAGTGTAACTGTTTTTAGGAATGTTTTTTTAGTTGGTTTTTCGTTTAAAAAAATTTTTTTTAAATTTTTTTTTGAAAATTTTTTTGAAATTTTGAAATTTTTGAAAATTTTTTGAAAAATTTTTTGAAAATTTCGAAAAATTTTCAAAATTTTAATTTAACCAAAATTTTAAATTTTTCTCACTTATAAGTGCACATTAATAACGAAGGATCAAATTGTGTCCCCAAAGCACACTGTTTTTCAGTATAATACCCTCCTAGTTCAAGGGCACATTCACTGTACTTTAATGGGAATATTTAATTTTAAAAATTAAAAATCCTCACTTTTGTACAGTCATAATAATTTGGAATTCGAAGAGGCGATTTTGCTGTGCAAAATACAAAACTGTATTTCTAAAAATAGAATTTTAAAAATTATGAGGGTTATTTGGGCGTCAAGTATTTTGGGCGTTGAGAGGAAGCAACGTTAGTTGCGTGCTTATAAAAACGCCAAAAGACGACTCTGAGATGTGAAATTTTGCACAGATATTCTTAATAGTATTAACTAACTATTCTGAAAATTTCAGAATTTTTCGTTCAGAAAATCAGAAATTATGGACAAAAATGCCAAATTTTCGGCAATTTTTCCCTAATTTTAGCCATAACTTTTGAAATGGGAAATAAAAAATTCTGAAATTTTAGGAGAAAGTGTAAACCGATATTACTCAATTCTATAGAAAATTTCACAAATTTAAATCTCCTTTTGATTAATTTATAGGCGCCTACGCCGTAACGATTTTGCGGCGAAACGTCTACAGAAAGGGGAAATTAATAAAAAAATATTAATTAAATAAATTTTTAAAATTCTGAAAAATATTCTGAAAAAATACTTTCTGAAAATATTTTTCAGAATTTATTTTTACAAATAAAAATATCCTCACATAATTAGCTTTCAAAACTTTATCATTCAATTCTGGAAGAGGCCCCAACCCTCCAATTGCTCTATTAACATTTTTTGAATTATTGGTCGTATAAACGGGCAATAAATGTAACGACTCAATTTTGTTTTTATTTAATGCTAAATTGTTGCCATTTAATTTTGAATTAATTTTATTTTCAAATTCTTGACAAATTTGAACAAAAGAGGAATTTATTGAGGATGTTGCTAACACACACCCCAATGTTTTTGTGTTAAAATAATAATTGGTAGGGCAGGCAAGGTTAAACCAATCTCCGTCTATGCATTCCATAAAGTGTGTACAATCATGCTTATTTATTATTTTCTGAAAAATTTTTTGAAAATTTTGAAATTTTTTAAAATTTAAGCTTGGGACGTTTCAGTGCCACAGTTTAAGTGTGGAGACAGGGCAACTTTAATAAACCATAACTTTTTTGTTTCTGAACCAATTTTTTCGAGTTATACACCATTCGAAAGCCCTTAGTTTGTAGATTATTTTTGCTTAAAGGACCTTTTTGATCTGACAACTTATTCAAAAGTTATAGACAAAATAATAGAAAAATCACGATTTTTCGCGCTTATTCTTCTATAACTTTTAAAAGAATGATCGTAGAAAAATGATCCTTTTGAAATAAATACTCCCCTTTTAATGAGCTTTCGAATGATATATAACTTGCCCTGATTTGATAAAAATTTTAAAAAGTTATTGAATTTAAACCAGGCATGCACATGGATACGGATAATATCCGGATATCCGCGGGTATCCGCGGATACGGACGGATATGGATAGTGTTTTTTTAAAAATCGGACGGATACGGATGGATACGGATAAAAAAAAATGATTTAACTGTCATAGAAACGTCCATTTTTCTCCTCCAAGTTACCTCTCCTTCAATACACCTTCTCTGCTTTATTCCAATTTTCTCATTAAAAGGATTAAATCCTTCAGGCAATAGATTCTCCAATGGATAATAATCTTCAGATTTTTTATTTGATATTATTCCGGTTTGTTGTTCTTTGCAAAAATGGCAGGGATCTTTTTTAAAAATGAAAATTTTTCTATTTTAAAAATACCGTATTTGCTCTAGTAATCCCCCAGGGGGATTATTGTTTCAACCCATCTCTAGGGTGGGGGATTAATAGAGCCTGGGGGATTATTAGAGTGGGGTAGAAAGAGGGGGATTATTGTTTCAACCCATCTCCAGGGTGGGGGTTTAATAGAGCCTGGGGGATTAATAGAGCAAATACGGTATTCAATCAACCTCCTTTTTTAAGAATTACCCCTCTTCCACTTACACATAATTAAGATAAAATAAATTCTAGTAGTCTCTCTTAACCAAGTTTTACAAAAAGATTACTGTAGGTCACCTCTCACTCGCAATTTGAGAGGAAGAGAGAGAGAGAGGGGGGTCTCTTATATACCTCTGTCTCTTATATTGAGTGTCTCTTATATAGAGAGTCTCTTATATTTAATGTCTCTTATACAGAGAGTTCTCTTATACAGAGAGGTCTCTTATATAGAGAGTCTCTTATATTGAATGTCTATTATACTGAGTGTCTCTTATATAGAGAGTCTCTTATATAGAGAGTCTCTTATGCAGGGAGTTCTCTTACCGTATTTGCTCTAATTGAATGACAGTCATTCTATTTTTCATATACCCCAAAAAAGTGTCATTCAATTAGAGATGTCATTCAAATGGAGACTGTCATTCTATTTTTCATAGGTCAGAAATACAGATAGAATGAATCGAATATCCCATCTAATATTTCTGAATTCGAAATTTTACCGATTTTTTTGGTTTTCTATAGTTTGGTTTTCGAAATTTTCGGTTTCAGGATTTTAAAATTTTACCGACATTTGGTTTCGATAGTTTGTGCTATTGAGGAATTTGGTTGGGCATGATATAGAGTGATCAGCCATTTAGAGTTATTTTGAAGGATTATATTGGGTTATGTTGGACATCAGGAAATTTGTTGAGATTCGGAGGGATATTGAAGGAGTTGGAGAATAAAAGTGATTAAGGAAGTATAGTATTTGTAGGGCTGTAGATATTTGTAGGAAATGGGATATCAGTAATTTGGAGGACATCCATTTCTTTTTTATAAAATATTAAGATTATTCATATCTAAAAATAACAGAATCCAAATCCATCAACATCTCCAGATATGACTAGTTCATCTTATATCCCTGATATACTTCAAATCCTCTATATCATTCCAAATCCTTCACTTACCCTCTTAATCCCTCTTGATCTACGAATCACTAAAACCTCCTCTAATCATTTCAATCTCTCGATATTTTCCCCAAATCTTTTTAATCTCTTGTATATCCCTTTTTACTCCCCAATCCCCTGAATCCCTCTTAATCCGCTTCATATCCCTCTTAATCCCTTCAAAATATCACATTTATCCATATTAAAAAGGAATATTAAACTAGTTAATAAAGGGGATAGAGGATAGAGATATAAGAGTTAGATAGTTAATATTTAAAAAATGTCATTCAATTAGAGATGTCATTCAATTGGAGACTGTCATTCAATTAGAGATGTCATTTAATTAGAGCAAATACGGTATATCTATTATTTTAAACACCTTTAAGTCTATCACTAGCATATTCATGGCAGGACCTTTTACTCCAAACCCCAGATCGGCATTCCTCAAAGGTTTTGCAATCTGAGGAGGGGTGTACCTCGCCATCAGAACACACAGAAAATTCGGTTGAAGGTTTTTGGTCCTATTAAAATTAAAAAAGGGTCTATTGGGTATCAGAAAATTTAATTTGCCTTAAATCGTCTACATTTATCAGAATAAACACAACGCTTCTCTTCCCCATTCCATTGAGTCCAATCGGGACACTTGGCAATTATATATTTGCCCTGAACACAGAGAAAGAAATCTCCACACTCTACAGAATAATAATCCCCTTCTTGACACTAAAAAATTTTTTAATTCCAAAAAAATCTAGAAACGACCTGCGTTTTAACAGGACACTGAAACTCGCTAGGAGAAACACACTCTTGACGCTGTGGGTGAAAAACTTGCCCAGATGTGCACATATATTGACGCCAAACTGTAGGAGAATTATCCTTGCCTTCGCAGAAGTAGAACTAAAAAATAGTATTAAGGTTAGAAGGAAAAAGAAATTCCGGAAATAATCTTCCGGAAGGTTTGTTATTATTTTTATTTGAAAGAAAAACACAAAATGAGTTTCCGGAAAATACATTTACATAAATAAAAGAGAGAATAAACATTTTCCGGAAAATACATTTATTTAATTTTATTTGATAACATTTCCGGAAAATATTAAAAATATTTTCCGGAAAATACATTTACTATTTAATTGTATTTGTTAACACTTCCGGAAAATATTTAATTGTTCGAGAAAATACAAAAATGTATTTTCCGGAAAGTTTATTTAATAAAAGAAAATAGAGGGAAATATACCTTAAACCACACCCCTTTCCGGAAAAAGCATTAAAGTGTTAAAAATCCTATCTTAGGCTATATTTAAAATAAAATTTTGAAATTTTGTAAATAAATATAAATCAACTAGTTCTATTACTTTGCAAAATTTCAAATTTTACTGTTTATCGCAGGTTAAGTTATTAATTTTTTTCTTCCATTTTCCCCCGCAAATTGAACCAACTTGTTCGCATTTATCAGTTGAACGTTTCATTTCCCCAGGCTGGCAAACGTTGCATTTAGCAATATCAGCAGGCACGCACTCTCCATCTTTAAAGACATCACCAGGACGATGACATTGAAAAAGTTGTGGTCGCATTCCATTACAGAAAAGAAATTGGGGAAGGCAGTCGCCTATAGCACTCATTCTCCACTCCCAACCTCTTAAATTTGGAAAAAAATCTTTCAATTTTTGGGGAAATTTTGAAGGAAATGAGGACTAGAAAACAGAAAAATAAAAGAAAATTTTCAAAAAAATTTTTTAAGTTGCCTGCACGCGCTAAGATGTGGACATTGGTCTTCAGGAAGTATGCGCCTACACAACCCCCTTTCTTTGTCAAAAATCTTTCCTCCATCGCAGAAGACAAATTCGGGCTCTTTAAATTCCTCACAGACAGCATACCTATTTTTAAAAAATTTTCATTAAATTAATAATAGAAAAAGACTGGTTAAGAGAGTTTTTTCTAACAGCTCCTTATTTTCTATATTATTTTCCGGAAATTTTATTTTCCTCTTTTTCCGGAAAATATAAATATTAGAGAAAGAAAAAATAAATTCCGGAAATAATACATACAAATTTCTGAAAATTATTTAATTTCCGGAAAGTATTAACTAGGAGAAAATACAAAATATAGTTTCCGGAAAATAGGAGAAAATACAAAAAATACAGTTTCTGGAAAGAATAAAATACAGAAATTACAGTTTCCGGAATTTTTCTCTAACATCTCATATTTCTATACTATTTTTCCGGAGAGTTTATCTTACACTTAATAAATTACAGATTTATTAAACAGACCAATTTTTACATCTATCCTCATTTGCCTTCATCAAGGATTGGGGAAATAGAGGAACCCCTCCTTTTTCCTCACATAATTGTCGTAATAAATGTGTACGTATAGGTGTTATATTTTCTTTAATTGCTTGGTTACAATGTTGGGGTGATTTTGAACATGTCATATTTTTCATTAAAAGAATTTTGCCTTAAAATTAATTTTTTGAGGTAATTTTTAAAAAATTTAAAAAAAATTTAAGAAACTTTTTTTCGAAAAATTTAGACTTACACCAGCAAAATAAGGCTACTATTTTATGTATTTTAATTTAACAATACTTTCCTTCCGGAAGAAGTTTCCGGAAAAAGTGTATTTATTTTATTTAATTGAGCAGTCTAACCAAGCCCCGCCCATTTCCGGAAAATAAATTAAAATAAAGAAATAGTAGGGAGAATAAAAATAAGTGGGGTAGGTTGTTGGATTTGTTTTTGCCTTTGAAATTTTTTTTTAATTTTGAAAAATTTTTCTGAAAATTTTATAGAAATAAGGAAAAAAGTAGTTGGCACTGTTCAAAAAACTTTTCTAAAATAATTTTTAAAAAACTGCCTGGAGGACAGCTAATGGCCAACGGCTTTGCAGCCGCTCCTCTACAAATCAATGCCTGTCTCGAACAGTGTTCTTCGTTAGAATGTCCATCAAGAAAATAAATTGTGGGGGTAAAAGGTGTATGACGAGCACAGAAATGGACTGCCTAATTTTTAAGTATTAAAAAAATTTTAGGTCATTAGACTTGTGCCAATTTTTCGGTAGCATCGTTGAGTAAATTTACTTGAGGGAGGAAACAATCTTTAACACGACGAGCTGGTTTGCCTTAAAAGAATTAGAAATGGAATTTTTTTAACAATCTCTAATAATGAACTTCCATTAAATCTAAAGACTCTAACAGGGATAAAAAAAACCAAGCCCCGCCCATTTCCGGAAAATTAATTAAAATAAAGGTGGGGGTGTTATCTAGAGTTGGGCTGAATCGGGATCCAATTCGGGAAAAATTGTTAAGGATGAAAAATTATTAAGGGTAAGAGTCCCTTGCCATTTCAAAATTTTTGTCTCGGCACAAAAAATGGAAGAACTCAATCGTCAACGCGGTGCTCTCTCCTTGACCTTCCAAAATTCTCAAAAAATTTCCCCTACGGCGCAGGAAAAGAAAGTTATTGTTGATTCTGAGTCATTGTAGTCTACTCCTGTTGATGACTGGCGTGGTGAGAGGCAAAGGAAGTTATTGAACATTTCAATAAAGCTGCTCTTATATCCCCCCCCCCTCACTACGTTTCTTCGCTGACAATTTCGACTTCCTTCTTGAGGATATACTATAAAAGCACCCAACATTTTGTCCGTTTCCCAACACTTCTACAAAACAATCATCACAACCCTTCAAACATCTACATCTACACAAACAACTCTTCATGCTCGGCCTTCTTCCATTGGAGCTCAACACCGGACCCTGGACCAGAAAGTCGTCATCGCTGTGCTCTCTGCTGCTGCTGCTCACCATCGCCACACTTGCAGTTCCCGGACAGGTCAACAGCGAAGAAGTCGGACTCGGCAAGCACACAAAGAATGGAGAAAATGTGATGCTCACCGCCAACACCGTAACTTCTGACAGGGCGGGCATCGACCTTGCTAGTCATAACTTCAAGGAGTTGTATCCGGACGCCTGTGATGTTACAATTAAAGACGGCTACATGTGAGGACTTTTTTATGCTTTTTTAAAGAATAATCATAACTAAAATTTTATTTTATTTCAGCGAGCTTCGGTACAAGAAAGGCAGCAAGGGATGCACTGTGGACTTGCTCAGCACCGACTCGTCGAACAACAACAAGATCAAGTTCAAAGCAGGAGTGCGAGGGAATGCAGATGGAAAACTCAACGATTGTCTTGATGCGGGTGCCTCATTAGAGCAAAGCTATAGCAACCTGTGAGTTTTTACACCCTTGTTCTATTTGATAGTTAATATACGTTAATTAATTTATGCTAATTTTTTAGTCTGCCTTTCGTCTACAGCGTCGATAACAAGGGCATAGAAGATCTCAACAACCGTCAATACAACGATTCAGGAGCAGAGTGTAAAAGAGGTGCTTGCAAAGACATTGATGGAAAATGCAAGCGTCATACATCACTTCAAGTCTCATGGAGCCAATCGGATGGAGAGGTCTATGCTCACACATATCTAAGTAAGAGGCCTGTTTGTGTTTTTATTTTTTAAAATCATTTTATAGTTGGTGAAAATAACAAAGGCTTGAGTCAGTCCAAGAAGCCGGAGGGTGAGAGTATGACTCTAGACTTGGTGATAAGTACTGCGAGCGGATTCACGATGGAGTATGCAAAGGACGAGGGATTCGATGCTTCGACTAAAGCTGCTTGCGTTCACAGGTCAACTCCACTCTTCGAACCCAAAACATGGAAGATCACGAATGATGGGGAGTTCAAGGACAAACACCTGCTCGTTTTCAGCCTGCTTCGGCAGAATGCTTCGTATACCTACAAAGACAGCAAGTTGGCAGTACCTCCAAATGGACCGGAGTGTGAACTCTTCATTCAGTTTGTGAGTTTTGCAATTTTAAGACCATTTTGTAATCCTATAATCTTTGTGACCCTTCAAGTAATTTTGTTTTTCCTAGGATGTAAACTACTACAAGATGCTCATCGTCACTCTTCAAACGACAACGCCACCGACCACTTCAACGACCACTGAGGATCCACCAGTGGAAACATCAGACCCGACTGAAACGACAACAGATCCCTCTGGTTCTTCATCGACAACCTTGCCTACGACCGACAACAGCTCCCCTTCCACCACAACGACATCTCGAACAACGGCAAAGTGCCCGCAACAACAGGAGAAATCTGGCGGAGGTCTCAACATTGCAATTGGCATTGCTATTGGCCTCATTGTCGGGATCATCATTGCAGTTTTGGTTTGGTTCTGGATGAAGGACAAGGCAAAAAAGGACGCCGAACGCGCAGAAGAAAAACGTCTGCTTGCTCTGTACAAGGCTGACCAGAAGATCAGAGGCAAAAAGGCCGTCGGGACATTTGATGTGTGGAAAAAAAATGTGAGTTTAAAAATTTGAGAAAATACCTCATTTAATCAAGCCTTCTTTTCCCATTTTTTCAGAGAAAGGAGAGTGATGAAACAACTGCGTTTGAGATGGGTTCAGTCGACGACATGATCGCTGTAATCTGGAAGAGAGTGGAGAAGGATCACGCCAAAGCCAAGATGCAGTTCCTTGTAGACCAGTTCGAGAAGCACAGGGACAAAGAGGTCTACGCCCGCGAATATGAACCGGAAAAGTCTAAAAAGGGATATGATGCCGTTGGGAATTTCCTGTATTGGAAAAGGGTGAGAAAAATATTTTTTAAATGTAACTTGGTCATTTTTATATTTTTCAGATGAAGAAAATCTATCCGTTCGAAGTGATCGATGGAACATCAACTGCGCTTGAATATGGGGCGGGAAAGAAGCCATATGATAAGCCGTATCTTCCCGGGGCCGTTGATGAGTCGATTCCAGAAACTGAATAGGGAGGAGGAGTTTGGCCCGGAAGTTGTGTGAAGGTGACGCTCGAGATATAAAAATGTGTGATTATCTATATATTGTTCCTTTGCTATGTCCCCCTATATATTGTTCTCATTGTTCCCCCCCCCCCTTTCCCATATATTGTTCACATTGTATGTATTGTATATTTCTTGTTGTTTGTATTGTATTTGAATTGTTGTATTTAATTGTATTTTTGTGTGTGTAAATAAATTGTTGTGTTTGTGTTGTTTTATGGACTCGGAAGATTAGGAAATACCCCCCTCCCTCTTATAGTTATCTCTAAACTAAACACAAAAATATACACCCAAATTGAAGTACTTCTCAAATACTTCTCATGGGATTTGGTATACCTGCTGGGTGAGAGGATAAGTCTGGCTTAATCTCTTTATCTACACAAATTCCTTTATCCACCCTTAATACTTTATTCCTATGAGGGAATGAACATTGGGAGAAGGTAGCCAGTAAGGTGAATTTTTTCGCCTACGCCCTCCCAAAATCCCCAAAATTTCGCCATCATTCCAAAATCTCAATTTTACATCGGGATCGGGATCCCGCCCAACTTTAGTGTATCAAAAAAATTCCGGAAAGTTGTTACGGAAAGTTGTTACCGACCGGAAGTTATATGGGCGATACTAGCCTGATAATGAGTCATAAAAAAAGTCGCTTTTATTGAGAGTTTATTTATTAGAGAGTTTTTAAAATTAAAAACTTACATTTATTCCCAATAAAAACTTGCCCTATGGGACATTCTTCAAAATTAAATTTTTGCTTTAAATTATTAAAATCTCCACAATTTAAGAAAGTAGAGCTACAAGACCCTAATTGAAAATTCTTTCCATTTCCAAAACAAAAAATTTGTAAATTTATTCCTCTAATTTTATTTGAATTTTCTTCTTCATTAAAAAATGATTTTTGAATTTTATTTAATTTGTTTTCTTCATGGTCTTCTTCAAATATTTGTAAACCCCCTTCTGCTGATTTCCATAGAGTATCTAATTAAATTTATTGATAATAGAAAAAGACTATGGAAAAATAAGAGAGTTTTCTCTAACATCTTTTTATTTTCTCTATTATCTTTCCGGAAAGTTTAATTTATATTTTTTCCGGAAAAATAAAGTTAGAGAACGAAAAAAGAAATTCCGGAAATTATTTGCTGGAAAATTATTTAATTTTTCCGGAATGTATTATTATAGGAGAAAATACAAAATACGCAAAATACGTTTCCGGAAAGTATGAAATACAAAATATAGTTTCCGGAAAATTTTCTTTACCCTCTCATATTTCTATACTATTTTTCCGGAAAGTTTATTTAAGTGAAGGAAAGGAAAATACATAGTTAATTTCCGGAAAGTATTTTCCGGAAGATTTATTTAATTGTTTATTGAGTATAAAATGAAAAAATATATATTCCGGAAAGTTTTCTCTGATGTTTCATTCTACACTGTTTTCCGGAAGTTTATTTTCCTAAAGAAATTCCGGTAACTCTTTAACAATTATTTAATTTCCGGAAAGATTATATTAGGAGAAAATACAAAATACAGTTTCCGGAAGGTTTATTTTAAAGAAGTAAGGGTAAGGAAAACACAAGAAAGTATTCCTTCCGGAAAATATTATAAATGTTCCCTTCACACCACCATAAATGTTCCCTTCACACTACCACTGTTGTTCTCTTCGGATTAATAAATAAATAAATTTTATTCAGACCAAAGGGTATACAATATACCGCTAAAATGGTTGAGTGTGTACAAATAAATGTGGAATTTGAATTATAAAGAGTTTTAGACATTTCAAAGTAAATAAATAGGCACAAGTAGTTAAGTTAATTTAGGAGATATTTTAACTTTTTTTTGCTTAAAAAATTTTTTTTTTTAAATTAACTTTTGCTTAAAAAGAGAAATTATAAAAAAAAGTATGTCAACTAAGAAAAAAAAATATGAATGATAAAAAAAAATAAATTAGGTATTGAAAAATATATGAACTAACTAAAAAATTAATGTTTTGACAAATATATATTTGGGGGTGGGGGTTTGGAAAAGGCGTGAATTTAAAAAAAAACTGATGAGTGAAGAAAAGGTTAAAACGCTCATTTTGCTAAGTGAATGAGTAAATAAGTTAAAGGCAATATACCCATCATTTTAGTTAAATTATGGGATTAATTTAGGGATTCTTTAGTGTTTAGGTTTGAAATTTGGTTTGTTGAATTTAAGTAAGTATTTTTAATTTTAACAGAATTTGCGGTAGGCTATGTTTTAAATTAGTTTTGAAACTATTTAATGTATGCCCTATGAATATATTTCTTGGGATTAGATTCCAAATATTTACTGTCCGGTTAATGAAAGAATTGATTGTTTTGGCATTTTTATTTGAGACCTGAATGATAAAATCATGCTTTCTACTTGGACGTGTATTTAATGTGAATAGCTCTTCTGGGATTAAACTGGTATGGTTAAATAGTATCTTATACAATGTTATCACGTCTATATAGTACCTTCTGAATTGTAGGGTTTCGAGTTGAAATAATTTTAGTCTGTCAGTGTATTTAAGATTTTTTCTTCTGCATTTCAAAAGGGCTGACTTAGTAAAGAATTTTTGCACTCTTTCTAAATCCTTATTTAATTCTTTAGACATTGGGTTCCATATAGGGGACCCGTATTCTAGTGTAGGGAGAATATATGTTTTAAAAAGATTACCCCATATTTTAGGATCGGATGTATGTATATTTCGTAGTATTTGATGGGATCTTAAAAATCCAAGTTTGCATATGTTTTTTATATGCTTTTTAAAGGTTAATTTATTGTCTATGTGTATGCCTAGATCTTTTATTACTTCGACATGTTGTAAATCATTGTCTAGGATATTGTATGGTATTTTTGGATTTTTATTACCTAGATTGAATATAAAAGATAATAGCCCCCTCTCTAAAAGATAATAGCCCCCCTCTTCCTAATAATAGCCCCCTCTCTAATAATAATCAGTTTTCCCCTATTCAATAAACTAGACAAGGCTCTCCATTAAACGCCCACTCAATATTCCCAAACTAACCAAAAGGAAGACGTTCACCAGCATTAGCTGAATAATGGTTGCAAAATAATAATAAAAAAATTAACAATATTTTTAAAAAAATTTTCATTGGATAAATTATTGAAATTTTGTGAAAATTATTTTTTTTTAGTTTTTTGGGAGAATGATTAAAAGCTTTTTAAGGCGAGAGTAAGAAAAATTCCGTCATTTAAATAAAAAAATATTTTTTATAATTCGTTAAACTGACTAATATATTTATTTAATAATAATTTTATTATTCATATTTTTAGCCTTTTAAAGTGTTAAAGGTTAATATAAAATTGAAAATTTCAAAAAAAAATTTTTGAAAAAGGAAGTTAAAACAAACAGGAAACTTGAAGAAAGCAGGGACTGAGGGAATCTCTTGGACGACATCTTTTTTGGTTATGAACCAATTTAAATAAATTATATACCAATCGAGAGCTCTGATTTTGCTTATTATTTTTGCTAGCAAGACTGTTTTGATTAGACCTCATTAGTAGAAGTTAGAGAAGGAAGAAGGCTAAAAATACCGATTTTCTGCACTTATCGAGTTATAACTTTTTAGTAAATCATCCGATCTGATCAATCCCAACACAAAAAAGAACAAGCACATTCAGAGCTTTCGAATGGTACAAAAATTTTAAAAATCGGTTCACAACAAAAAAAGTTATGGCCAAAAAAGCGGGACACATTATGAGACTCTAATGTCCCCGAATAATTCCGGAAAAATTAAAAGGCGGGAAAAGTCTATTTGAAAATTCCGCTTTCTTCTGTCTTTCTCTGTTGTCTACTTTTTTAACTTCTATCGATTTTTTCAAAAAAATTTTTCTTCTGCGCAAAATGCTTTAATTTTTTGAATTTTTTTATTTAATTTTAATTAATTTTTTTAATTTAGTTCAGTTAAATATATTTATTTTTTATTCTCAACTGCCTTAATGTCCCACCAAAAAGACCAATTTCCTACTACAAAAAAGGTTTAGTTTATTTTTTAATTTGTAAAATTTTATTTGACGTTTGAAAATGTCAGCAAGATATTTGCTGATTTTTTAATATCCGCAAATGTTTAAAATTGTCCGTAGAAATTTACAGAATTTGCGGACACATTCTAAAAAAGTCCGCAAATTTTAAATTTTGTCCGCAACTTTTTTGCGGATTTGTAAAATATGTATTTTTAACGTTTTGAGATGTCAGCAAGATATTTTTGCGGATTTTTTACTTTCCGCAAATGTTTAAAACTGTCCGTAAAAATCTGCAGTTTTTTGCGGACACATTCTAAAAAGTCCGCATATTTCAAATTTGTCCGCAAAAATTTTTGCGGATTTGTAAAATACCTATTTTTAACGTTTTGAGATGTCTGTAAAATATTTGCGGATTTTTTTTACGTGTCCGAAAATGTTTAATATTGTCCGTAAAATCTGAAAGTTTTGCGGACACTTTTTAGAAAAGTCCGCAAATTTAAAATTTTGTCCGCAAAATTTTTGCGGACAAATTTTTTTTTCACAAATTTTATTTATCAAACCCTTTGTTTAATAAATTAATTTTTGGTCTAATATTTTCTTTTTTTTTCAGTGGAAGGCCTTATTAAAACTTTTTTGTGACAACATTCCTTTAGCTACCAACTTCAGCCTCTTCTTTCCCTACCAAAACACCTTCACTGGAGAACAAGCACAATTATGTATTTACAAAATTTCGCCTCAATTTTTTGAGAAAGCAAATTGCACGATGCTAACCGCTAAGAATACTTGCTGTTGTTATTTAAAAGATTATAAATATATTTTGAACGCGAAAAATGAGAGGGATTTGGGGTTTGATGAGAAGATGTTGTACAGGTTTTTATTATTATTTTTTTTAATTTTTTGGGGGGATTTTGAGGGGGGGGTTTAAATATATTTAATTTACTTGAACTTTCTTTACTTGGACATCCTTTCCTAATTAGAATAAATAGAAAAAATTTTTAAGAAAATGAAAAATTTTTTTTAAAATCCGCAAAAAATTTTTCTGTCCGCAAATTTTTTGCGGACATATTTTTATGGCTAATTTAACTAATAAACCCTCACTTTTATCATTTGAAAGGCAAATCCTTTAGAATAATATGACTATTTTAGTGGAAGCATATCCTCCATAAATATCCGCAAAAATTGTCCGCAAAAAATTTATTTTTTTAAAATTTAATAAAAAATATTTCTAAATTTATATTTTCTTCAATTTTGTACCAATTTAGCTTCACTTCCTTTGTTTAAACTTTTTTGGGTATAAAATTTAAAAATCCGCAATATTTTTGCGGACATGACATTTGATCCCAATTTTTTAAATTTCTAATTTTTTTCTTTTTTAGATTAAACTGGCCTGTAATTAATGACACATTGGAAGGGTTTGAGTTGGACCCTCTTCCTTCAAGTTCTTTTACGGCTTTCAATTCAGTCGGAAGAGCCAGTTCTTTAAGAGGTTCTGATGACACTGAAAGAAGGGAAACACCTGTAAGTTTGTGAAAATTTGAGATTTTTTAAAAAATTTTCTACTGATTTGACTAGCTTTCTTACCTTTTAATTAAAAATTGGGAAAGGTTTAGAAAGAAATTTTTGCCAAAATTTTCGAAAAAATATTTCTGTTCACTCTTCACCCCTTGAAAATTTTTTGTCCTTACAATTAGAATTATTTTTCTTTAATTTATGTAAAATATAAAATTTGGTCATTTAGGCATTTACCTTACACCTTTCTATAACATTCACATTTCTAAATAATTTTATTAGTAAATAATTCTGTTTTGTCCGCAAGTGTTGTCCGCAAAAATTTGCGGACAAAATTTTTTTGTCCGCAAAAAGTTTTTTTTTCTCATTTTTCTTATTTTTTAGGTTTGCAAAAAATCCACATCTGTGAGAGATTTGGTAGGAAGCTTTTTAAGCAGATCCTCATCCGAAAGAAGATCTCCTAGCCCAGCAATAACAAATAAAAGAAGTGACCCAAAATTTTTGGACAAAAACATTCTGAAGGAAAACAACAATTCAACAAATACTTCAAGAGGATACAATTTTAATAATAAGCCAAAAACCTCAAAAAGTATTTGGACAAATGATTATAATCGACAATATAGAGAGGTGAGGTTTGAAAAAGAAATTTTAGGGAAAAGGAGAGGGAGGGAGAGGGTGAGGGATGTCATTGGGTAAAAGGAAAAAGTTGGGTAGGATTTTGGATCGAAAAATTGCCCAGGCTTTAGATAGGGGTATTTGGATAATTTGCAATATCCCCTGGCATAGGGGACAACTTAATATAAAAATTTTTTAAATATGAAAAAAATTTTAAGGGGAGGGTGTCTTTGGGTAGAGGGAAAAAGTTGGCCTCCACGCACATCCCTGGCGTGGAGGCCAACTTTGTAAAAAAAAAATTTTTTTTTTGGAGAACGTCGCAATTTTTAAAAGTTGTCCGCAAATATTGTCCGCAAATTATTTTTTAAATTATTTTTTTTATTTTTAGAAAAGACCTGCGTCCGCTCAACGGGTAATAAATTTAATAATATTCTTGTTACGGTTTATGAGTCCAAAAATTTAATTTTCAGCCTAAAAAAAGAATTTTTTAATGGGACCAATAAATTAATATAGAGCCAAAATTTTTGTTTTTTATTTTAGAATTTTAAAATTGTTTTTACCCTTATTTTAGTTTTACGAATCCGATTAAATCGGGATGGAGGACTCGATCCGGGAAATTTTTTTAAAAGGAATTTTTTTGACATTATTTTTTCAACCCTTTCAATTCCTGCTGTAGTGCCTTAAAAATAATAATTGTTTCCTCTGATTGGACTCTTAAACTATTATAGAGCTTTAAACCTCTAAATTGTAAGGGTTGGAAAAATTTTGTTTGATAGGACTCATAAACTAGTATTTATCAGGGAAGGAAGGGTTATTCTAAACTCGATCCGGAAAAAAAAATTTTTTTCTGAAAAGCTCGTTCCTGAACCCAAACCTGGTTCTTTTCCTCAACTTGTCCTATTCATGCTGTAGTGCCTTAAAAATAATAATTTTTTTCCTGATTGGACTCATAAACTATTATAGAGCCTTAAAACCTCTAAAATTTTTATTTTATTTGTTTTTTAGCCTTGTTCTGTCAATTCTTCTCAAAACTTTTCTTTTTGTAAACAAATAAGCAAATTAGAATACCAACAAGAATCTAGCAATAAACAACAATCTAAACATTTATCAACACTTTTAGACTCTATCATTTATGATCAAAATTTGAGTGAAAATGAAAAAGTTGTTAAATTAAGAGATGTAAGTTTTTAAAAATTTTTTTTCTCAAGGGGGGATATGTTAAGAGGGAGATAATTTAGAAAAGAGTGTGTGTGTGTGTGTGATGATATGTATGTTTGGGGAGGGATTAAAGTGTCGTAGATGGATTAGTTGGAGGAGGTATGGGGTATTTCAGAGAGTGATATATCGAAGAGGGTAATCTTCTAGTTTACTGGTCCCGAGAACAAATTAGGAAGCAGTGCTGTTTCGATCTTTTTGAGGGTTACCAGTAGGTAATCGACCATGCTGAGTCCGAATCTGAGCCTAGAATTGGTTTATTTCGAACCCCGGACCCGGATTCGACCAAGTCGAATTAGGCGTAAAAATTCGAAATTAAAAATTTAGGGCTATTCTAACATGACTATTCGAGTAGAGTAGACTGGTATCAAAATTATGATTTTTCGACAATTTTGGATGAAGTTATGATGCCAGTTTTCTACACAGAAGTCTATAATAACGGGTATTTAATTGATCATAACTTCGTTTAAAATGGTCGAAACTTAATACAGCACTACTTCCTCTAGGGACCAGTAAACTAGAAGATTACCTCGAAGAGTAATGTGTTGGATATCAGGGGGATTTTAAATAGCGAAAGGCCAAAAAAGGAGAAATTTCGGCGAAAGGCACACTCTCATGTTTGATATGTCAAAAAGAGTGGGTATCACGACTTTTGCGCCAACAGTCGGACCTAATTATAGTGTACTTCTTAAAAATGGTATCCAGGAGCTGAAGGAATTTCAAGAAGTACAATAAGGTTGAAAAATAAACCGACCCCCTACAGGAGTCATCTTCAAAGAATTTGACATTTTCGGATCAGGATATTTGGTCTGCTACCCCTGTTTAGGCATGATTTTCTGATAGAAGAAGGTGCACTACAGTGTAGGGTTGTCGGGTCCAGATATCCGGATTTGAAAAAGGCCGGATAGTCGAAAATTTTAGGTCGGATATCGGATTCGGATCTTAATATCCGAAGATATCCAACTATCCTACATTTTCTATAGTGAGATCCGCCTGTAGTTTTTCATAATTATTAATGATAGTGGCGGCGCAAAAGTCGTCCGGCGCAAAAGTCCCCCGGCGCAAAAGTCACGGAACCAAAGAGTGTGACTTCCCTCTTCCTACATTTCCCTTTTATTTTTTTAAATATTTTTATTTGGTTCATTTGAGTCTCGACATTTTTAAAAAAAATTTTTTTATTTCAGTTTAAAATAGCTTACCCAACAATATATCAGGCAAAATTTGGTAAAGAAAAATTAAATGATACTCCAAAAATTAATAATTTACCTTCAATTAACAACAACAATTTATCATTAAAAAATGAAGCAACAACTTCCTTAAGCAAGAATTTTAAGAAAATTATTTTTTAATTTGTAGAAGAGGGAAAAAAATTTAAAAAATTTTTTTGTTGGAAGAGAAGGTATGGGGGAAGATTTAAAAAAATTATTTATTTTATCGAAAAAAAAATTTTTTTATTTTCAGGGATATTTTTATTTAAAAAATTTATTTTTTTCTTGTTGTCTAAAACGACTACATATTTTTATTTTACTTAAATTTTATTTTTAATTTTATTTTTGATTTTATTAGTGTTTTTTAAATTATTTAGAATAAAAAAACACTTAAAATACGGAGCAGTTCAGTTCAGAGAAAAAAGTCTGGGCTGGTTTCTAGTCGAAAAAAAGTCAAGGTTTATATGGTAACCCATCCCTGGTTCAGATCATATAACTCATGGAGAGATGTTCACTTCTTCGGGTTCTTGGTACCCTTTGATAGAGAATTGAAAGCACTACAATATACCAAAAAATCAGAATTTTTGACTGCTTGATAAAAATGTTATGATTGAAAAACTAACTTTTTGTTCAATAAAATGTGATTTTCGGCACTTTATCGATCATAACTTTTTTATTAATCAGTCGATTGTTTTGATTTTTTGGTAGCTTGTAGAGTATTTAATTCTCTATCGAATGGTATCAAGAACGCTAAGAAGTATAGGCTATTTCATAAGTTATAAGTGCTGGGACTTGACTGACACTGAGTTGGGACTCACCTTAGATGTACCCCTTAAAATATTAATTTTTTCTTTAATTATATTTTAAAATTAATTTTAAAAGTCAATTAAAAAATAAATTATTTTTTGAATTAATTTTACTCTGTTCTTATTTATTTTTGAAAAAAAAATAAATTGTAAACAGACACACAACAATTCCTTCACAAAGAGTGACATTATTTATTAAGTAAAAATTTATTTTTAATTTATTTTTATCAATTTTCTTATCATTTTAATGAATTAATTAATTTTCTCTCTCCCTTTTTATAAATTAAAAAAAAATATAAAAAGAGTAAATTACATAGTATAATTAAACGCATTTTTGCAATTAAATTTTTACTTTAATTGTTTAACTGTCTTTTTTCCTCTCTTCCATTTTTAATGAGAATTTGTGAATCTTTCTCTTTCATCCCTCCTTTTTCACCTCTATTACCAGGCACGGAAGACTAACGAAAAAATTTTCTGATTAGGAAATTTTCATAAATTGGACACTTCTGATTAGAGATCGAGATTTTTGAAAAGCCTGGACTCTGGGTTTGATTTCTTGACCTAGGCCGGATTCTGGTCCAGGAAAACCCAGGTCCAGGAAAACCCCAAGAAGGTCAAAAAATGCCTGGACCTGGACTCTGGGTACAGGAAAAACCCAGACATTGGTCCGTGTCCAGCTCGATCTCTATTTCTGATTAGTGACCGGCAGAACCGACTTTGCCACTCCAGGATTCCGGATTCGTAACTTTAACCGGACCAGCCTAAATGTTCCGGATTAATCCGGTTTGGTTTTAATCCTGTAAAAATTCTGATTTTAAAAATTCTGATAATTTTAAATGTTCTGATAATTTTTAAATATTTCCAGACTCAAACACCCCTTTTTAAAATAATTTACTCTTTATTCTTTAATTTTGCTTTAATCAATTTTTATATATATTCGCTTCTTCAAAGTCTTATGCTTCCACCCGGCTGTCTGTTAAAGCTTTATAATCAATAATCCCTCATTCTTTCCTAAGATGTGCGCAAAACGTCAAACGCCAAAACTATTTTTGATTTTGAAATATTGAAATCTTAAAATGTCGTAATGTCAAAATTGTCGAATTTTTCAAAATGTCAAAAGTACAAAATGGTCAGTAGTCAAAACATACCGTACTCAAATGTCCTATTGTTCATAGAAACAGGAACGGGATTGGGACCCTGTCCCGTTTCCCGGTCCCTTTTCCCGGCTTTTCTGAAGATGCCGGGATGAAACCGGGATCCGGAATTTCCGGTTTTCCCGGTCTGGGAATTTTCATTTCCCGGTTTTTTCAAAATTTCGGTCTCTGATTGTTCATTTGTCAATAAAATCAAAACAACTAAAAATTTTGCCAAAAATGGCAAAATGCCAAAACGGTCAAAAACACAAAAAAAACATTTTCAATCCCCCCAAAATGACGTAAAATCGAGACATAAAACATTTAAAAACTAAAATTTATTTTCTTTCTTTTCCCCTCTAACATTTAATTCTACATATACATATTTCTATTGCCAGTCGAGAGAGAAAATGTCGCACGTTTTAAAAATGTTTTTTGCCCCCACATATACGCGTGCGTGTTAATTTTCTCTCTTTTTTATATTTTTTTTATTTCTCTCTTTTCTCTTCTTATTTTTTTCTTTCTTCTTTTTCCCTCTCTTTTTCCCCCTCTCCTTTTGGAGGGGAAAATATAATTTCAGACGTAAGCAACACAAAATAAAAAAAAATTATATTTTTTTTATAAAGCTTAACATTCGCTACAACTTGAAAGCTTAGTTTTTATATTTTTTTATCAACAACCCTCTATTCACTTTCATTTTCAATCCTTTTCCATCCCCCTTTTTTTTATTTTTTATTCCCCTTCAAGTTGGGAACATGCGTAAGTTGCGTGTAGTGGGTTGAGTCCAACCCTCATAACTTTTTTATGGTTAAAGCTTTTGGAATGGTTTTGGTATTGTTGGATAGAGCATAAAATAGGCTATAAATGAGGATAATAAAAAAATTTTGAGTTGATAAAGAATAAAGTTATTGAGAAAATATAGGCGTTTTTGGGATAAAATGTCCTATTTTTGAAGTTTTTTATTTTTAAAATTTTTCCTTACTGATCTAAAATTTTTGTTTCTGTCCTCATTTGTAGCAAATTTAATTCTCTATCGAATGATACCAAAACCTTATCAGAACCTTTATCCATTCGAAAGTTATGGGGTCTAGAAAATATAGGCGTTTTAGGATAAAATGTCCTATTTTTGAAGTTTTTTATTTTTAAAATTTTTCTTTTCTAATTTAAAATTTTTGTTTCTGTCCTCATTTGTAGCAAATTTAATTCTCTATCGAATGATACCAAAACCTTTAGAAAAACTTTATTCATCCAAAAGTTATGGGGTCTAGACTCTACTGTACCCGGCTGTCTCTTATCCACGCGACCGTTCTCCCTTTCCCTCTCCTTTCCCCTACACATTTTCTTTTATTCTTTCACCTAGTAATTGTCAGTCACATTCACCCCTTTTCATTTTTTTATCTTCCTTACAAACGTTTTATGGCGGCATAAAACTCCTCTCTTATTTTTTGCTCCCAGCTGCGCTTTATCTTTATTCTCTCCCCATTTTTTCTAGCTTTGGCCAATCCTCAGCTTTTTTATTTTTATTTTCTCGGGTCTAAAATCATAATTCTAATGCTACACCGTTATTTTATATATTTTTAAACAAGCCTCTTTTTATTTTTTTACTAAACAAGCCTCTTTTTCATTAAAAGCTTTTTCATTCAGAGCTAACCACTGTTTTTGTGTGGTTGGCGTTTTTTGGGATTAAACGCCAAAATAATTTTTTAACGTGTTTTTCTATCTGTTTTTATATTAATTTTTATTGCCTGGGGGTATCAGAATTTTAAAAAAATTTTCAGAAAAAATTTCAGAAAAATTTTTCAGAAATTTTTGTCTTTGGCGTTTATAAAAAAAATTTTTGGCGCACACCCACAAAAGATAAATGTTTTTATAAAATGTTATTTTGCCGCTGTCATACCAACGAGAGTGAGTGAGTAAATGGAATGTTTTTAAGCTTTTGATTTTTTTATCTAACTACTTTACATTAAAAATAAGATAAATACCCTCCCTATAAAGCTCTTAGAAGCACCAAATTGACATACTGTTTGTTTTTTTTTAATTTTAAATAAGTGGTGAAAAGCAAAAACAAACCATTTTTAATGTTTGCTTGATAAAAAGATAATATTATTTTTTTAATAAATAAGTCTGTAATAAGCAGGTGAAAGAATTTATTTCCTACACCCCCCCCCTTACTCATAGAGGGAAAATAATTTTATTTTTAGTTTTACAATTATTTAAAATAAAGTTTTATTTAAGTTTACAATCAAGTTATACAATTATTAAAAATTCAAGTTGTATTTAAGTTTACAATTAGGTTTTTTCAAGTTTTACAAATTCAAGTTTTACAATTTTATTTTTAATAATTGCAAAACTTTACATAAATATAACTTTAATTTGTAATAACGCTAAAACATTAATTTTTACAAATTGTAAAACTTAATTGTAAAATAAACTTTAATTTTAATAATTGTAAAACTTAAGTTTATTTAAAGTTTTAAAATTTACAAATTCAAGTTTATTTAAGTTTACAATCAGGTTTTATAATAGGTTAAATTTCAAGTTGTTAAAATTTCAAGTTTTACAATTTGATTTTTAATAATTGTAAAACTTAAGATTACAAATTCAAGTTTTACAATTTGATTTTTAATAATTGTAAAACTTAAGATTACAAATTCAAGTTTTACAATTATCAATAATATGTAATTGTAATCTATCCTTTTTAAAGTTGTCAAGTGTTTCTAAAAGGAATGTTCCTTCCCGTATATTCTTATGATCCGTAGTCTTGTGTTTTCTATCATTCCTTTAACATTTTCCCTAGGACATTACAAAACTCTCGACATTAAGCAATATTTTTTGATTTTTAAAGATAGTTCCGTTCACACACTTAAAAAATGTGAATATCAAATGAATAGTAAGAGAAAAATTTATTTATTTTTCACAATAATTAATGTGTATTTTTTTCTTTTTTTGATTTTTATGTTGTAATAAAATAAAAGACTTTTAATGAGAGAGACAGTTTAAATTTAATAAAAATGTTTTTAACACTTCTAACAGGTTTAGAGTTAATAAAACTACCTCTCTCCTCTTCTCTATTTCTTTCATTAAAAATAAATTGTTAATAATTGTAAAAATTTAATTTTTAAAATTGTAAAAAACTTAGTTTTTTAAATAATTGTAAATCGCCGAATTTTTTCGTCAATAATTCCAAAAATGTGCTATAAAACATTGGTGGTGAAATTGGGAAAAATAACATAAAGGGAAGAATTTGTAGAAACCCCAAAACTGAATATTTAATAGCCAGATTTGCATGATTTTAAACCCCGGTTTCGGATGATAATCTACATGTAATGGTTACTGGGTTGACCTCAGCAAGTCTGTGTAATACCCCAAATCCTTCGAGACTTGTCTTCGAGATTCAGACTGGTGGCACGAACTTATGGACCACCCTAATAATTGTAAATTTTATTGTTTTGTTAATTGTAAAACTTAAAATTTAAAGTTTTACAATTTTCGCAAATTGTAAAACTTAATTGTAAAACATAATTTTTGCAAATTGTAAAACTTTAATTTTTTTAATTTTTTGTTTTAGATATTTTAAGAATATTATTTAATATTTATTTAATACACACAACTTATGACGCTCGTATTTACATTTATTAAAATAAAAAAAATTTTTAGAGCTTTGTTTATTTTAATATTTAATTTATATTTATTTAAATGTTACCTTTATATTTTAAATAAATTAAATAATAATTTTTTTCTATTTTTGTGTTTTTATTTTTATTATTTTTTTACCATTTCTGTCTTTTCTTTAAAAAAATATTTCAATTATTTTTAATTATTAACTTTACTCTAAATTTTAATATAAATATTGTAGCTTTAATGCTTACTTATACATTTAATCTTAAAACTTTAATTTTTAATTAGTACAAATTGTTAATTTTATGCTTCATAATTCGTAAAAATTAAAGTTTTAAGTTTTACAAATTGTAAAACTTTAATTTCCAATTATTTCAAATTGTAAATTTTCAAGTTTTACAATTTGTAAAAGTTAAAGTTTTAGGTTTTACAAATTGTAAAATTTAAAACTTTAATTTTCTCTAATTGTAAAAACTCAAACTAACTTTTACAAATTGTAAAACTTTAATTTTTAATTATTACAATTTGTAAAAATTAATGTTTTAATTTTTAAATTGTAAAACTTTATTCTTACAAACTTAAAAATTTATTTTAACGCTGTAGAGATCATTTAATTAATTAATTTTTTGGTTCAATTAATTTTATCTTTTAACAAGTTTTTAAGTAATTAATTATCTACATTTATTCAAAATATTTTTACAACATTAAATATTTAATTAATGGAGTTTTTAATTTTTTAATGTTTAATTAATTAATTAAAATCAGTAAATGTTCCACATATTTACTCTTTTAATTAAAATTTGTGAAAATATTTTTACAATTTTTTATGTTAAAAATATTTTATTTTTTTAAAATTAAATTCCTTTACATTTTTTAAATTATCCACTAATTGCACTTTAATTCCCACCATTTTCATTCCTTTTTATTTTTTTAGAAAATATTTTTTCATTTTTAAAGGGTAGTCTAATTTTCTTTTAACTGTTTTATAGACTTTTACAATCAAGAACAATTAATCCCTAAGGTATTGAGAAATATAAATATAGGCAGTATTTTTTAGTAGTCGTCTTGTGAAAAAATAAGTAGTGGTATCTGTAAGATTGCAATTTTACAAAAAAAATTTTTTTTACAATTTTTATTTAAACTTTTATTGAGAAGATAGGAAGGATTACATAAGGGAAGAGACTTTTTTAGACTTAAAAAGCTTTCCCAACTTTTCCGTTAAAACATAAGATTGTAAACTTAAAGTTTAAATAATTTTTCTTCTTTCTTCACTTTTTAACGTTACATTCTTAAGGTTCTCAACTACTATTGGGAAAAAAAGAAAATTTTTCTTGATTATTTTAATCCAAATCCTTTCAAAATAAAAACCAAAAAATCCTTCAATTTCAATCAAAAAAATTCAAAAAAAAATTCTGAAAGAATTCAGATCGACTCTTCTATGTATTAATTTCTAATTTTAAATTTTTTTCTCAATTTTTTGAATATCTTACTAATTATGTCTTTATATTTAACGAATAGACTAAGGGTAATTTCATAACTTTTAAAATATTTTTAATTTTTTTCCCTAAATATTTGACCTTTTTAATTATTTTATTTGCGTCACTAAATTATTTTTATAATTTTATTTAAAATTTTTAGTTATTTAAATATTCAGAATTATTATAATATTTTTAAGAAATTTTATTTCTTCATTAAAACAACAACTAAATGTTTTTAAATTAAATTTAATGCAAGCTTAAGAGAAAAAGCCTGAACTTACAAACTTTAAAAGAAAGTTGTAGGAAAGTTGAGATTGTAAAATTTAAGTTTTATTTATTTTCCCTCCCTCTTTTTTACAATTTTACAAATGCATCAAATTAAAATTTCAACATGTTTATTTGTTTTATTACAACTTTGTTTAATCATTTCTTTTTGTTCTTCCCAACAATTACAACAAATAAAAAGGCATTCGTTTAGAGAAACGTGTGTCGACGAACATGATAAAGTAAGGGAAATATAAATAAATTTACAAACTTGAAAACTTTGTAAGCTTAAACTTAAATTTGGAAAGCTTAAAACTTGAAAGGTTTTATTATGAAATTAAACTTGAAAAGTTTTCAAGTCTAAACTTAAATTTTTAAGTTCAAACTTGAAAAGTTTATAAGCTTAAACTTAAACCTGGAAAACTTGAAACTTGAAGGGTTAAATTGTAAGATTAAACATTTTCAAGTTTGCGCTTGAAAATGTTTGTAAACTTGAAAACTTAATGTTTTATTTTTCGGGGAAGCGCAAACTTGAAAAGTTTTTAGGTTCAAACTTAAACGGAAAACTTAAAACTTGAAAGGTTTTATTATGAAATTAAACTTGAAAAAAGTTTTAAGTTTAGACTTAAAGTTTATAAGTTTAAACTTAAATCTGATAGACTTAAAACTTGAAGGTTAAATTGTAAGATTAAACTTGAAAAAGTTTGCGTAGGGAAAAGTTTGTAAACTTGAAAACTTTTTATTTCCTTTGTGAAAACGCAAACTTGAAAAAGTTGGAAAAGATAGACTTTAAAATTTAAGTTTTATTTATTTGGTGAAATCGCAAACTTGACAAAAACACAAACTTTTTCTTTGACTTACTAACTTGAACAAAAAAGTTTTTATTTTTCAGGATCTCATTTCTTGTATAGTTTCTGCTGGTTTGTAATTTGTAAACTTTATTAAATATTTATTTGCCCTTTTAAAGTTGATTGTTCCATAAATATTGAAAAGCTTTTTCCTCCCCCAACTAACAACAATTTTCCATCGGAAGCACACGATTTACGAATTGAACCTTTTACTAAAGCAACACCACATAAAGGGGTAAAGAATGCTGAAAATGAAAGTAATGACCATCAACAACATCATCAATTACATGTTGATATTTCCTGGCAAATACCCCCAAATAGTAAGGACGAGGGAATAAAATGGGGGGAATAAAACTGTTATTTTTACAGATTCTACAAAAGCATTAAAAGGTTTTTTGTTGGAAATTGATGGAGAAAATGGGAGAAAACATGCCTGTTTTTTATTAAATGTATGAAAAAATAATTTTAAAAATCAACTAATTTTATTTAAAAAAATTAAGGTTTCAAAAACTGTGTGGAGTAGTGAAAATATTGCTGCTTCGGTTAGTAATTAAGCAAATCTCTTATTTATTTTCGTTTAATTTTAGCCACGTCTACACTTTTCTACTGATTCGCTTTTTAATTTTGGTCAGAGCTACCAAGTTGAATTATTCAGGTAAAAGAAATGTTTTTTGAGGGAGAATAGAGAATAATTGTAAAACAAGTTTATTTAACAATATTTATGCAACAAAAACAAGT